ATGCAATCAATACACTTTCCCTTAGAGTTCCTAGAAAGAGTACGATCCTACTAGATTTCAGACTTACAGCAGTCTCCAGAACTGTGAAAGAGTACATTCCTATTGTTCTAAGCAACCACATTTATGGTAATTTGTTAAACCAGCTGTAAAAAAATATACAGTATCTGATACCTGCTTTGAATTGATGTTTATATGAAGACAAATTTCAGAGCAATAGCTTTTTGGAGAAACTACTTCATATGGGGGTAAAATAACCTAAGTAGGCTTGAAGATATATGTGACAACATTATGAACTCTTGCACACTATAAGCCAAAAAACAATCATACACATGGACAATGTTTCTTTGGGAGAAATGACTAAGTAAAATGAAAAGACAAAATTATAATTTTCTAAATTTCTATAAATATATTACATTTGAAAAGGGTTCTCTATATACATGCATTAAATTATTTTTGCCACTATTAAAGAAAATTCCTACAGCACACCACATGGGGGATAATAACATAATATTATGAAATTTTACTTAGACAGAGTTGGATATAATACTCAATGTCTGAAACAAATTTAATTTCTCAATATAAAGAATCATGATATTGATGAAGATAATTCAATCTATTGCTACCCAGTAGGAACATTTGTTTCCTGACATTTTAGTCTGCTTATTAATCTGGATTAATAAATCTCATCTTCATTACCCTTTCCATTTTGCTGTAAAATAATAGACAACATAAAAAATAAAATGAAGATAGATTAAAACCTTTAAGCAGCTATCAGACTGGAATAGAGAAGAAAATATCTTGGTGGCAAATATCTAAAATGTCACCTTCCCAATAAAATAGATAAACAACAGTAGCTCAGAAAACAGGTTTCCATGATTAGTATGAACAATTTTCTACCCAAGTAGACCTGCAGCCCAGAACATTTCTTCAGCTAAGGTGCTTTATTCTGTTTCTCCAACTCTTAATAGCAGTGTTGACTGCTGACTTGTTCTATCCTATTTTGTAATAGGCAACATATTCATATAAAATACAGTGATTTCAAATCCCATAATTTTCATGATCAAGTGATAACCTGGGATAGTGCTGAAAAGAAATATTATATGTCAAACTTATCTAATCACACTGTTTCAACAAGAAAAAGAGTTACTGCACCTGTTGCTGGAATTTTCTCTTCCATTGAGAAAGGTTATTCTGGCCATCAGTATATTTATGCTAGGTAATATATAGAGTCCTCTCATTAATTTGGCTATTCAGAGCCTTATTCAGAGACAATGCCTGGAGATAAAGCCTCTCATTCTCCGATCCCTTCTCTCACAGGAAACATGTTCATACAAAATATAGTGATTTCAAATATGATAGTTTTCATGATAAAGTGATAACCTGTGATAGTTCTGAAAAGAAATGTTATATGAGAAACTTACCTCTTACACTGTTTCAACAAGAAAAAAAATTTACTGTAATTCTTGCTGGAAGTTTTTCTTCCATTGAGAGAGCTTTTCCTGGCAACCAATATCTTTATTTAGGCTAGGTAATATATAAGTCCTTTCATTAATTTGGCTATTCAGAGCCTTATTCAGAGACAATGCCTGGAGAAAAAGCCTCTCATTCTCCTATCCCTTCTCCTGGAGACAGTGGCTCTAGCTCTGACCATCAAAATCAGGACACACAGGGAGGTGGCAGCGAGAGGGAGTCCCTGGACCCCTGTCCATAGCACAGCAGAAGGTTTCCATGGGGGTGGGGGGGGCGGGGGGATATTGGTGTCTATTCCAACTACCTGCAATATATTCTTTGAATAAGAAGGAAAAATTACTCAGGGATGTCCTTCCTCTGTCATAGCCATCATACTTTCTGCCGTCATCCTGTCCTATTTCAATTACCAGTACTGAAAACCACTTCCCAGAACAAATGAAAATATAAGCGATGGTAGCTCTGGACTTTCTCTCAGGAAAATACTTTGACTTATAATAAACCCTACAGAGATGAGAAACATACCTCTTAAATGGGTATAGAACCCTATTCTCTCTGCCCGCCTTCATAGAATTAAATCCCAGACATAGACAGATTCAAGGGAATTTCTGAAATTTCTTCAATCACCGCCACGAGTATAGCTTTTATTTTAGAATCAAGTGAATTAAAACATTCTTGAGTTTCTCTTGAGAATTCAAATCCCCAGAAGAATCATAAGGTATCACACCTATTTATCTTCTGCCTTAAGGGACAGAGGGGGAAAGATCTCTGAAGCTTCTCCCTGGAGGGGAACAAAGCCTGTGTCTGATTGTTCTGGAAGGAAAGATTGTCAGGAACAGAGGGGTAGATATTGTTTCTCCATAAACTTTCAAATATCTCAAGGGTCATAAAGTTGAGACAGGTGTCACAAATGACAATATCTGAGCTCTTAAAATTATTATGATTTTTTTAGGTCAATAGTGAAGGATTCCAAGTCTCCTAGGAATGAAAGTCGGTGGTGTTGCCTCAGTGCAATTGCCCCACCTGGGAAGGAGAAGGGTCTGCCTCAAGCCCCCAATTGGTCCTGCCTGGCCCTAATTCTCTCCATAGCAACTGTCATACACAGGAGGAGGGAACACCCTATGAATCTGCCAATCATAACTCAGCACGCCAGCTACAAAAAGAATGCAGAAGACCCTCTATTCCACAGGTCAAACTGCATTAGGTACCATAGAGTCCAGAAACTGACCAGAACAACCCACATGCGTAGTAATGCCAAATGCCAACTGTCCACTCAAAGTGGTTCCACAGGGATGTCTGAGTCACTAGGGAAGTCCCAGTCTGTCCACTATGAACCAAGACTGAGACCATAACCAGCCCTTTTCTCCTTCCTTTTGCTGTCCGTTTGCTGCAGCAATGGATCTGGTCATCATCTGTGGCATATGTACCATGCTCAGTAAACCTATAACTTGCTCTTGTCCTAGAATCCTATATTTCTCTCCTCAACACACCTATTTTTGTGCTTGCCTTGCTTTGGTGCCTCTGGTCATTCTTTGACCATGAGTGCACTAATAGCTGACATTTCAGACTAAAACCTGAGAGTTCCAGGCCTTTATCCTTCTCTACAATCCCCATTAAGGTTTATGAGAGGCTGTGACTCTTAGATGGTTGAGGAACGGTTCCCATGGAACCTGGCATGGCAACCCTGAGAAAGAATGGAGATCTCAATGCTGAGCTGTATCTCTCTGTATGCAGTAGGAAGTGATGGATATAATGAGGAAGTATTAAAAGAGCCACAAGCAACAATTCTTGGGCCCTTATTGTCTTTCAGAAAATGTGCCAAGTGCTTTAAATGGGCTACATATTTTAATCTAATCAGCATCCTCGTTTTATAAATATTAAGACTGAAGTTTAAATATACTATCTGCTATTCTTTAAGAGTGGTCCAGGGACCCTGGGAATTGATGAGAAGAGCATTTATATAACATATATACCAATAGTGTCATCATAAATTGCTTTTCTTTCAAAAGAAGAGCTGATGCAAAGAGGGGAAAAAATAGCTTTTTCATCTCTTCCACTCTCTAAGTAGGTGTGAATCTCAACATTGAAATTTAATCTAGAAACTGGGTTCATACTCCACAGAGTTTTCAGTGAGGAGAGTAGTGTAAATCATAATAATATATTATTTTGTTCACTATAATTTTGCACTATTTTCAGAGCTAGCATTAAAACAACTGCCATTTTTATTATGTTATTAATATGAAATGTCACATTTCCATGAATACTAAGTTTGACAGTTGATATCTCTGACATTTCACTTTGACACTTCTTGTTTCATTTTTAAAGTCTTTCAAATGCATGGTTTGGCTTGTAGTTATCTTTCATATTTTTATTTAAACAATTTTTGTGCAACTATGGATAAGTACAAAATTCATGTTATTTTTGAATATGAGTTCCATTGTGAAACCAATACAGTGCAGATAGCTCAAAATATCAGTGAAGTGTTTAGAAAGGATGAGGCTAATGAGCACATAGTATGTCAATAGTTTGAGAAGTTCCGTTCTGATGATTTTTATCTTGAAAATGAACTGTGTGTGAGCTGAGACCAACATGGATAATAATCAGCTGAAAGCTGTAGTGGAAGTGAATCCATCAACCCACGAGTGAATTAGCAACAATCTTTGACATTACTGTTCCAACAATATTGGACCATTGGAAACAAATGGGCAAGGTAAAGAAGCTGAATAGACGGGATCGGCACGAATTAGATGAGTGTCAGATGATAAATCGTCTCAAAGTTCACCTTTCTTTGCTGTCACGACATAAAGGTGAAGACTTCCTACACCATATTATTACGTGTGATGAAAAATGTATTCTTTTTGACAACTGCAAGTGTTCAGCACAGTGGTTGGATAAAGATGAAGTGCCAAAACACAGCCCAAAACCTAATATTCATCCAAAAAAGCTAATGGTATCTGTTTGGTGGTCCAACGCTGGTATTATCCACTCCAGCTTCATGAAATCTGGTTGATGGATTACAGTGGATGTCTACGTCAACCAATTGGATGAAATGATGAGGATGCTTGTGATTAAGCAGCCGAGATTGGTCAGTAGACAAAGGCCAATCCTCTTGCAAGACAGCACTCAACCACATGTCACACAAACACTGCTACTCAAACTATAGAGGCTGGACTTGGAAACTCTCCGTCATCCACTGTATTCACCAGATCTTGCACCAACTGACTACCACTTCATCCAGGTTCTAGACCACTTCTTGCAAGAAAATATATTCCATTCTCAACAACCTGTGGGAAAAATCTTTCATGATTTCATCGCCACTCAGGGTCCAGGTTCCTTTGCTGCTGGAATAAAGAAGCTACTGTCAAGATGGCAAACCGTGCTCATAGTGTAGGCACATACTTTGTTTAATTACACTACTTCTTGTTTGAGGTGTCATAAACTGCACTTTTGACTCAAAAGTGGACATTAGTGACCTAATATATCAAACTCCTAATTTGAAAACTTTTTTGAGTTTTTGCTTCAGTGAAACACAAGTTTTAAAAGCAAAGCCATACTCAACCACCATTCTACACACCTCTCACACGGACCTCTTCTTCTGCAGTGCTTTGTGGAAGGCACTCTTCACCTGAGCGTTCCTCAGGCTGTAGATGAGGGGATTCAGCAATGGGTTGAAGAGACTGTGGAATAGGGACAGCATTTTCTCCTGCTCCTCTCGCTGATTAGAGTCTGGGACCATGTAAACCAACATGGCTATGCCAAAGAAGAGCCCAACCACACAGAGGTGGGAGGAGCAGGTGGAGAAGGCCTTTATGCGGCCCTCCTTTGACTGCACCTTTAGGATGGCCCAGAGGATGTGCATGTAGGAGACAAGCATCAAGCAAAGGGGTCCAACTAAGACAAAAACACAGGTAGCAAGGATGACCACTTGGTTGATCCAGGTGTCAGCACAGGCCAGCTTGAGGACAGACAGAATTTCACAGAAGACATGGTTCACATACCAAGGCCCACAGAAGGTCAATCTTAGAAGGAGAATTACCTGTATTAGGGACAGGGTAAACCCACATGACCAGGAAGTGACAGCCAGGATTGTGCACACTCTCCAGCTCATGACTACAGTGTACTGGAGAGGGTGGCAGATGGCCACATACCGGTCATAGGACATCACCACCAAAATCAGGCACTCTGTAGCAGCAAGGGCCAAATACAAGAAAGTCTGCATTATGCATGGAATAAAGGAGATGGTTCTGGTCTGGTTCAGTAGATTTGCCAACATCTTGGGGACATTGTTGGAAGCATAGGACATGTCAAGGACAGCCAGGTGTGAGAGGAAGAAGTACATGGGTGTGTGCAGTCTGTGGTCCAGACAGATGAGTCCCAAGATCATGCCATTGGCCAGGAGGCTGAAGATATATAACAGGGAGAAGATCCAGAAGAGGAGCTCTTCCTTCTCTGCACTGAGCTGGAATCCCACTAGGATGAATTCTGTGACCCATGATTGGTTGCCTCCCATTCCTAAGTGACAGTCCGTCAATGACTGAAGTGTGTTGGAAGGTCAGAACTGGAGAATCAATGAAGATTTGAGTTATTTATCTGAGCTCAGAGAAAGGTTGTATGTTGCTATTAGACAGCCTCCCCAAATGCCCAACATTTGGCCCCTTTCTGTTTTTAGCATTTGATCATGAAATAAACTGAAACTTACATAAAAGTGTCAAGAATTTTGTGAAGAATTCCTGGATAACTTTATGCAGATTTAGCAAATATTAACATTCCTTTCTTATTTATCTTATTCTCTTTCTCTATATATACTTATTTTTTGAACCATTTGAGATTAAAGTGTAGACATAATACCTGTTTACCCCTAAAGTACTCATTTTCTCACTACAAAAAATGTTATTTACTAACCTGAACACAGTATAATTTTTCAAATCAGGAAATTTAACATTGACATGTTTCTCTTCTTTAACATACAATATTCTCCATCCACTCACACCTGTCAGGCCTTCATCCAAGATTCCACATTGTATTTTAATGTCATCTGTTTTAGTCTCTTTGCATCTGTGATGTTTACTCAGTCTGTGGCTTTCCAGTTATTGATAATTTGAAGAGTATACAGAAATTGTTTAATAGAATATTCCACAAGTTGGGAATGTACAATGTTCATGTTTTGAATCAGATTATTCACTTTCTGCATGACAAATAGTGTCTTCCTGTGTGCATTATGAGTAGGTGTGTGATGTTAATTTGTCCCATTACTGGTGAAGGTAACATGAATCACATGCTGAAGATGATGCTTCTCAGATGTCTCTATTATGTAATTATTATTTTTTCTCTAATTAGACTCTGAAGCATTCATTAAAATTATGATATATTTTGTTCCTCATAGAGAACTACTCACTACTTGTTTCTTTCAGTCGCTATTTTTAGCATCCACTGATTATCTTACCTGATTCAATTATTATTAATGATGATTGACAATGTGTTGTTCTAACTCCATCATTGCTTTTACATTTATTAGATGCAATTTTACTATAAAGAAATGCTCTGTTTATCTATCCATCATCTATCTATCCATTTATCCATCTTTATGATCTCATAGGATTTTTTTCTTCAGTGGATTATACATCATTGTTATCATTTTTTCTGATGCTTAACTTTTCTGTATTTGGACCCTCCAGCTTGCTCCTCTGTTCTTTTAACATGTTCCCTTCATGTCTGAGCCCTTCCTTACCTCTGATACGACCACATGTTTCAGACTCACCTTGTACCTTCACTTCAGTCACAAAATAGCCATTTTCAACAAAAGATCTAATTACTTTTAATGAAGAAATATATCTATAAACCAATATCTGTATTTTATTGGATTTTCAATAATTTATATTTTCATCATGGTAATTTATATTCTATGATGTTTATCATGAAGATATCATGAATTTCTGATATTCTCATTTAAAAGTAAGAGCATATAACTTGAGAAAGTACACAAATTGTTACAGAGGATAATACATTCTCAGGATTACTTCTGAAAACTGACTATAACTTAACCGACTTCTTTTATGGAGTCAAGTCTATTTCACTAAATTAACATCAGCATTGAAGAAAATGGTGTCGATATTATTTATTAGTTTAATTTAAGTGAAAATATATGTTTGTAAATCCTAACACTTTATTAGTCATCAGGCTTTATTACTTTCTTGCATTTATTCTTATTTAGAAAATTATAGACCCTTGAATATTTTAGATTTAGTATAGTCCATTGTGTGAACAGAGGGGTATCTGTATCTACGTTGTGTGAGACTTTGACATCAAGTTTTAAAATCTTCTAAGGAAAACATTATGAGACTCCAGGTAAAAGACTGAAGAGGTACTTTGAAACATACAGCCAAAGGTGATCCTCATTAACAATTGTACAAGCAGTCACCCCTTTTTACTATTCATTTATTTCCTATTTATCATGAATTGAAGTTACATGAAACAATGTTGTTTAACTAGTTCTATCATATATCATGAACCATTTTCCATGTCAAAATATTTCTTTGTAACACATTTTCAACAACTGTCTATTATTTGCTTAGATATATTATAATTTATTTAATATATTAATATTATCTAATCATTAGTTATATGCAATATAAGGCTTCAGCAATTAAATGATGTATATATTACTTCTTTCTTTAATTTGTTTTGCTTATTTCCTGAAATTCTAATAGTGAATTCTTAGATTTAGAAGTGTTCAGTCTGATCAATCAAACAACTTATCTATGGGCTCAGGATCACTGAAGCCAGGAGTTTGAGCTTGGGTGACAGAGCAAAACCATGTCTCCACACTGAAAAAAAAAGGAAGGGCTATTTTCATCTACACAGGAATTACAAGTTATGTTGAACAATAAAACCATAGCAATTAAAAAAGTTGCATAAATATAATTTCATTTTATGACACATGGCTTAGAGTCAGGTTTCCATAGAGCAGATGATGAGTTATATTCCTATATAGTTACAAGTTATATCTTTTAAGATGCTGGATAAAATTTTAATTTATACTTATCATTTACTTCATTTTTTAATGCATAAGAGTGTAAGATGATTCATTAATAAAAAAATTGAGAATTTTGAATGTCCCTGTGGGGGACATGAGGCATACATACGTGTAAATTTGTAGGCAGGCCTATATTGAGTTGGAAAGTCATATGGGTCTTTCAAAAATACTAGTGTCATACACACTGTGCTTATCCACTAGCCTAGTTGTGTCAGCCTGAAGGGGTGGTACAGTGGAGTCATAGGCCTCTTCTTTGGGAGGGTTTTCTTGCATATCTATAACAACTTGCTATAAAGAGAAAGAAGACAGCCGGTTTGATCTTGTGTATGCCCCATTACAAGTCTACCTTATACATGGCCTGAAAAGGGCGGCTTTCCTATTCTAGGGAATTAGAGAATCCTCCTGTCTCAGCCTTCCAGGGAGCTGGGACTACAGGCACATGCTACTGTGCCTGTCTGATTTTTTCTATTTTTAGTTGTTTGGCTAATTTCTTCCTTTTTTCTTTCTTTCTTTTTTTTTTTTTTTTTGAGACAGAGTCTCGCTTTGTTGCCCAGGCTAGAGTGAGTGCCATGGCGTCAGCCTAGCTCACAGCAACCTCAAACTCCTGGGCTCAAGCGATCCTGCTGCCTCAGCCTCCCTAGTAGCTGGGACTACAGGCATGCGCCACCAGGCCCGGCTAATTTTTTTCTATATATATTAGTTGGCCAATTAATTTCTTTCTATTTATAGTAGAGACAGGGTCTCGCTCTTGCTCAGGCTGGTTTCGAATTCCTGAACTCTAGCAATCCACCCAGCTCGGCCTCCCAGAGTGCTAGGATTACAGATGTGAGCCACGGCGCCCCGGCCAAGGGTATCTTTTAAATATGGTATAGGCTTGGTCAAGAATAACAGTTAAAAGAATTATATCCTCACTATGAAGATATGGCCAATCCTCAAGGTAAAATGAAAGATGAAGAGGCATTGATACCAAATGCCATTTATTTTAATAGAGATGGCCTTTCACCAGATAATCAGTGCTGATATGTCTCATACTTCTTTATGTCACTTATGATAACTAGTATAGCTAAAGATAAAGCAGAAACTGAAAAAAATGGTTTTTAATTTGATGAATGGTATTTTTAGCTTATTATATAGTCATTCATGTATTAAAATATTAAATATACAGTATACTCTATATAGCTATATATAACATATGTATATTAAATGTATATAGTATACATTTTTATCTATTGTCCAATCATAGTTTATACTTTCTTTAAAACATTTATAATTGCAATTCGATTATTTGAAAATTTAAAAGAATTACAGTGAATGGTGACCGTAGAAAGATATGTCTTTAGCCCAATCCCTAGGACCTGTGAATACTGTCTTATTTGGAAAGAATTTCTTTTGGATGCGATTAAGAATCTTGAGATGAGATAATCCTCAATTGTATGGGTGAGCCCTAATTCCAATGACAAGTGTCCTCATGAGATAAAGCAGAAGGACATTTGAAATGAACTGGAGAAGCACAGGGAGGCGAGGTGATGTGAAAATGGGGCAGAGAGAGATGTGGCCAGAAACCGAGGATGCTGACACCAGCCAGAAATAGGAAGATGTAAGAAACGTATTCTCTCTTAGAGTTCCCAGTGGGAGCATGATTCTACTATATTTCAGACATCTAGCAGACTCCAGAACTGTGAAGGAATAAATTCCTATTGTTTTAAACAACCACATTTGTGGTTATTTGTTAAACCAGCTGTAAAACACAAATACAGTATCTTACACTTGTTTTGAACTGATATATATATATATAAGAAGACAATTTCAGAGTAATAGCTTTTTGGAGAAGCTATTTCATGTGGAGGTAAAATAACCTGAAAAATAGGCCTGAAGTTACATGTGACACATTATAAACTTTTGCAAACTATAAGCCTAAGAAGGATCAGTTATATGGACGATGATTCTTTGAGAAAATTCGCTCAGTAAAACAGAAAGACAAAATCATAATTTTTAAAATTTCTATTCGCATTTGAAGATGGTTCTATATGTCTGGGCATTAAATTATTTTTGCTATAATTCAAAAATATTCCTAGAGCATGCCAAGTGGGGGATAAAAACATCATATTGTGAAATTTTACTTAAACACGGTTGGATATAATGTTCTATGTCTGAAACAAATTTAATTTCTGAATGTAAAGCATAACAATATTGTTGCAAATCATTTAGTCTATTGCTACCCAGTAGGAACATTTGTTTCTTGACATTATAGTCTGTTTATTTTTTCTGGATTAATAAACTCATCTTCATTATCCTTTCCATCTTGCTATAAAATAATAGACAACATAAAAAGTAAAATGAAGATAGACTAAAATCTTTAAGCTGCTGTCACACTGAAATAGTGAAGAAAATATCTCAGTGGCAATACCTAAAATTTCACCTTCCCAATAGAATAAATAAACAGCAGTAGCTCAGAAAACAAAAGGTTCCCATCATTAGTACGAGCAATTATCTACCCAGGAAGGCCTGAATCCCAGAATGTTTCTTCTGCTAAGGTGCTTTATTCCGTTTCTCCAACTCTTAATAGAAGTGTTAGCTTCTGACTTGTTCTATTCTATTTTGTCATAGGCAATATAGTCATACAAAATACAGTGATTTCAAATGTGATAGTCATCATGATAAAGTGATAACCTGGGATAGTTCCAAAAAAAAATATTATATGAGAAACTTACCTCTTACACTGTTTCAAAAAGAAAAAGATTTACTGCAACTGTTGATAGAATTTTCTCTTCCATTGAGAGAAGTTTCCCTGGCCATCGACATCTTTATTTTGGCCAGGTAATATATAAAGTCCTCTCTTTAATTTGGTGGTTTCAGAGCCTTATTCAGAGACAATGCCATTTTCATAGAGACAGTGGCTCTATCTCTGACCACTACCACCAGGACGGGGGGGGGGGGGGGGGGGGTGGCTGAGAGAGAATCCCAGGACCCCTGTCCGTAGCACAGCAGGAGAAAGTTCCCTTCAGGGGAGGGGGACATTGGTGTCTATTCCAACTACCAATAGTTGGATATTGGATAACCAATAGTTGAATCAAAGCGCAATATACGCTTTGATTCAGGAGGAAAAATTATGCAAGGATGTCCTTCCTCTGGCATAGCCATGGTAAGTTCTGCTCTCATCCTGTCCTATTTCAGTTACCAGTACTGAAAACCACCTCCCAGCACAAATGAAAAATGTATACATGGAAGATGGAAGCACTGGACTTTCTCTCAGGAAAATTCTTTGACCTAGAATGAACCCTACTAGTTGAGCAACATACCTCTAAATGGGCATAGAACCCTATTCCTTCTGCCAGCCTTCATAGGATTAAATCCCAGACATAGACAGATTCAGGGACTTGTTGAAATTTCTCCAACGAACCCCACGAGTATAGATTTTATTTTAGAATCAGGTGAATACAAACATTCTTGAGTTTCTCTTGAGAATTCAAATTCCCGGAAGAATCATAAGGTATCACACCTATTTATCTTCTCCCTTAAGGGACAGAGGGGGAGAGATCTCTGAAATGTTTTCTCTGGGGAGAAGTGGGAGAGCAGATACTGGCATCACACTATTTCTGCATAAACTCTGAAATATCTGCAGGGGTCCTCAAACACCGGGCCCGCTGGGTGTTTTTGCCGCCGCTGCCTGTCCTGCCTAGCAGCCGACTCATCCCGGGCCCACAGTGCGCATGTGTGGAATGTGCCCCGCACTCTCCAATGGCTCTCCAACGATCTGAGGGACAGTGAACTGGACCCCTGTTTGAAAAGTTTGAGGACCCCTGTCTCAAGGGTCATAAACTTGAGACAGGTGTCACAAATTGCAATATCTGAGCTCTTAAAATTAGTATGGTTTTATGGCTTTATCCTTCTCTACAATCCCCATTAATGTTTGCAAGAGGCTGTGACTCTTAGGTGGTTGACTGACGGTTCTCGTGGAACCTGGTACGGCAACCCTGAGAAGGAATAGGCCTCCCAGTGCCAAGGTGCATCTGTGCTGCAGTAGGAAGTGATGGATACAATGAGGAAGTATTAAAAGAGCCATAAGCAACAATTCTCGAGCCCTTATTGCCTTTTAGAAAATGTTCCAAATGCTTTAAATGAATGCTTTAAATTAATTTAATCATCATCTTCATTTTACAAATATGAAGACTGGAATTTAAATATATAAGAGTGGTCCAGGGACTCTGGGAATTGATGAGAAGCTTTCAAAGAGTCTACAGGATAAAAACTATTTGCACAATAGTATTTAGACAATTTTTATCTTTTTTTAATCCTTATTCTCTCATGAGTACACAATTAATTTTTCCAGAGGCTACCTGATATAGGATATTACAGCAAATAGAATGCAGAAAAAGATACAAAATACAACTGTCCTCTATTAAGCCAAACATGTAAAAAAAAAAGTTGCAAAAATGTGAAACATAGTTTCTTTTATACTATTTTTATAAAAGGTACTTATTTTTCATAAAAACATTTCTATTGAATGTATCACAGAAGCCTTTTAAAATTAATTGGAAGTAAATATTTAATAAATTGTCAGTCTTAACTCCATAAGGATCCTGAGCTCCTTCTTCTTGGTGCTGGTACTTCCCCTTCTTTCTTTTATGTGCCTGTTTCCTTTCTCTCTCTGCCTCTCTCCCCCTCTATTCTCAGGCCCATCCAAAAAAGAAATCCCGAAAGGAAAGAGGTGAAATTCTGCCTCATTCCCCTACAGGACAATAGTATTCTTCTCTCTGAGTGGCATCTCTCTCCAGTTGGGCAGGGGGGGTGGGCAATAGCGTCAGGTCTTCTTGACTTGCTTCTTCCTGGGACCACTGCATTGTAAGCCGGGACGAGGACCGCAGCAGCAGTGTTCCAGCAGCACTGTGCCCAAGGTGGAGCCTCTACTTCCCGAGTGAGGGCTGGCAGGAGAAGGAACCCCCCACCTCTGTCCACTCACCCAGACGTTAGCATTAGCAATAGGTAGCCAGGGGGCAGTATGAGAGATGAAGTTTCTCAGTGAGAATGAGGAATTCTGATGCCCTGACGCTCCTCTAAGAGATAGCCCTCTGCCTGGGAGCTAACAGAGGAGAGAACCCTGTGTTGGTTTTGGGCTGCAGCTACCCGGAATGGAATTTTCTCCTCCATGAGTTAAGAGATGGGAGGGAGGAAGCTGATCTTTTGCCTCAAATATTACAGGCTCTTGCTGTTCCTGAAGAGTTTCAGTAGATTTTCTTGCATAAATGTTTCTCCCTGTGCTGCATGCCTTTAGGGCCATTTCCAGAGACTTTAAATGGTTGTTTAAAAAAATTTTTTTTCACCAGTTTCATGGAAGCACATGTCTACAGAGCTCCTCCTCACACTGTGATGCCAGAGGGAAATCCCCCACTAGTGCTTTTTTAAAAAAATATAACTTATTGTGAAATAAGACCATCCATGTCAAAGAAAACATCAATTTTTGTTATTTGCTTCTATTAATCAATTCTCTTGACCTATTCTATATTTTTCTTTCACACAATACTGCATGTCATCCCTAAGGCAATGAAGAATTTTGAAATATCATGGCTAAGGGCCTGAACATTCTTCTGAAGCTATTTATGATGTAAATTTTGTACCCTGTCATTACACACTGCTGTGACCTGTCCCAAAGACTTACTTTTAGATCCAGAACAAGAGCTCACAAACTACTGTCCCTGGGCCTAATTCAAACAGCCATCTGTTTTTGTAAATAAAGTTTTATTGGAACACAGCCACGCCCATTTGTTTACACATCATCCATAGCCGCTTTTGTTAGAGTTAGGTTGTTATGACAGAGAAGAGACCTCTCAAAGTCTTAGGTATTTACCTACAAGACATTACAGGAAAGAGTCTCTAACTGTTGATCTAGAGGATACGTACTGTAAGCTTGTTAACTCAGTTTGACTTGACTAGCATGGGTACAAACTCTGTTAGTATTGACCATTTACCAACTATTAGAAATCGATTTCCAATAATCCCAGTAATGAATAATCCATTAAAAATTTTAGACATTTTAGTGGATATGAAATTAGTATCTAGCTGTGGCTGTAATTTTCAATCCATAGCTAATGGTGGCAAGCAGCATTTTATGTGTTTACTAACCATTGTAGTTTTTGTAGAAGTATCTGTTCATTTATTTTGCTAATTTTTTGCAATTTGGTTGATTATCTTTTTGATTATTTCTTTGAAGGAGTTCTTTGTATGTGCTGTCAACAGTTCCATTTCTGGGTACATGTAGTTTGAAGATGATCACTTGGTCTGTAGCAAGTATTTCATGTTTCTTTATCATGCCTGTGATAAGCAGAGTAATTAATTTTTGAGAGGTTCAATATTTATCAGACTTTAAAATTTTATGTCCAGTGCTTCTTGTGTCTTTTCTATGAGTCTATCCCTATCCATGTTCATAAAGGCATTGACCTATTTTTTTCCAAAAGTTTCATATCTTCAGTTTATATGCATGAGTCTGTAAGATTTTATTTTAATGTAGCATTTATTCTACCAGAGGACAAAAGTGCCAACTTCTGTATGTCACAGGGAGCAGAGCCGCTCCCTGTGCTGACCTGTCACATGGGCCCCTCCTTCCTCAGCACTCTCCTCAGGGCACCCTTGACCTCTGCGTTCCTCAGGCTGTAGATCAGGGGGTTCAGCATGGGGTTGAAAAGGCTGTAAAACAGGGAAAGGACCTTCTGCTGCTCCTCAGGATGGCGGGACTTGGGGGCCATGTACATGACGATGGCGCTGCCAAAGAAGAGCCCGACCACGCAGAGGTGGGAGGAGCAGGTGGAGAAGGCCTTTCTGCGGCCCTCCCCGGCCTGGATGCTCAGGATGGCCAGCAGGATGCGCGAGTAGGAGACCAGCACCAGGCAGAGGGGCCCCACCAGGATGAACACGCAGGCTGCAAAGATGACCACTTGGTTGAGCCGGGTGTCAGCACAGGCCAGCTTGAGGACAGACAGGATTTCACAGAAGAAGTGGTTGATTTCATGAGGCCCACAGAAGGGCAGCCTCAGGATGAGAACTAAATGGACCAGAGCCAAGAGGAAGCTGAACACCCAGGAAGTGACGGCCAGGACAATGCACACTCTCCAGCTCATCATCACAGTGTAATGTAGGGGGTGGCAGATGGCCACATACCGGTCATAGGACATCACCACCAAAATCAGGCACTCTGCGTGAGCAAAAGCCAAATACAAGAAAGTCTGCATTATGCATGGAACAAAGGAGATGGTTCTCTTCTGGTTCACAAGATTCCCCAGCATCTTGGGGACATTGTTAGAAGCATAGGACATGTCAACTATGGCCAGGTGTGAGAGGAAGAAGTACATAGGAGTGTGAAGTCTAGAGTCCAGGCAGACAAGGCCCAAAATGACCCCATTCCCCAGCAGGGTAAATGTATAGAAAAGAGAGAAAAGTCCAAATAGGAAAAACTCCAGTGCTGAGCTGACCTGGAATCCCAGCAGGGTGACTTCTGTGATCCATGTCTGGTTGCCTCCCATGTTCCTGTGGCAGAGAAAAACAAGATCCAGTCCACAACAGGAAAGTCAGAGCTGTGGAACAGTCAAAGAAGGAAAATATTTATTGAATGTTGCAGAGGAAGCATTTAGAAATGTTATCACTCTGGATAGATTTTCTAAAATTTTTTTTTTGGATATGTTCCCGAAACTAACTAAATGTGTTCATAAAAATGAGAAAAATATCCTATTATATCATTGGAATAATAATAAAAATATGTTATATATAATAAAACATAATAGGATCTATTATATTAATAATGCCTGATATAAAAAGAATACACATAAACACATCTACCATGTGTTGTTTTGAAGGCTTAAAATCTGCTGGCTTTCCTTCCATGGTGGGAGCTTTGATTACTCATGTAGTTCAAAGGGAAATGACCCTGATGTGTCACAATACGAGGTGGTTTCATATCCTAGCTTGCTGGCCTTCTTGGTCCAAGATATGATGAAGCCACTAGGGCCCTGTTTTTTTCTGGGCTTGCTCACTACACACTGGCCCCACTGACCTTCTCACATGCTCCCCCCCCAACTTATTTCACATTTGAAACCTTTTCTAAATAGGTTCTCAATTTTTTTTAAGAGATAGGGTCTTGCTCTGTCACCCAGGCTGAAATGCAGTGGCACAATCATAGCTCACTGCAGCCTTGAACTCCTGGGCTCAAGCAATCCTCCTGCCTCAGCCTCCCAAGTAGCTGGGACTACAGGCATGTGTCACCACACCTGGCTAATTTTTTTTCATTTTTTATAGAGACAGGGTCTTGCTATGTTGCCCAGGCTGGTCTCAAACTCCTAGCCTCAAGCAATCCTCCAGTCTCAGCCTTTCAAATTGCTGGGATTGCAGGTGTGAGCCACCATCCTTGGCTATCAATTTTGTAGTTTCTTTAAAAATTTCCTAAGATAAGACCCTCCTTGCAGCAGCTGGCCAAGACTCCCTACAAGCTCCTTTAGATGCCACTTTTCCATCTCTAGTATTTGTAGTTTCATTCTGAGAGTTTTGCTGACCTCATCAGCATTTCTTACTGAAAATTAAGCATGAGTGAAAGAGTTCTTTGACTACATGAAATAAACATGTGTCTATATTTTGACTATATTCAATAACTAAGCATGTGGCATTTCTGAGGTCTTTTAAAGTAAGACGCTTAAATGAGGAAACCAATTTACATTTACAGTGGTTACATTTAAATGTGATAGCTGTATCGTAACTGTATTTTGTTTGTTTTCTCTTTTCCTCATGACATATCTCAGAGCCGGTCTTATTTTCTCGAGCGACAGAAATCTTTTGTCCTCAGTATCTTCCCAGTTTCAGCAACTCAGCTTGCCATCAAATCCCCTAACTGGCTTCCTCCTCATCACCTGTTACCATGGCAACAGCTTACACTGGTGGAAGGGACCCTGAGCAGGGCACAGGGGTGCATCAGCTGCAACACCAGCTGGTTAATCCCATCTAGGGAGCTATTCCTAGAATGCCCAGCAGAGGGAGACCAAGGGCCATGAGCGGGATGGATGTCGCCATTACTCAGAGACATCAGGTGACCTGGTGCCGCTCCTGTACACTTCCTTCTGACTCTTCCCAGAGACAGCCTGACGATATCACCATGTATTGACTTTCTTCCTGTTGGGATTATTTGTTCCTATTTCTCTTATTTTTAGTAGTATAAAGATAAATATTATTACCAATTTAAGGTTTGCCATGTTCATGATCATTTATTTAGTAAATATTCTATGAGTGAAACTGCGGATGCTAAAGATATAAACCTTTCAAAGGTTTTTGTGCCTATAGATTGCTTCCCTCTGGAAAATCTGACCAATTTCACTTGCCACTGGCAGTGTATCAGAATCATGCCTGCTGGCCACGCGGTCAGTTCTAAGCATTACCAGATATATAATCTTTCTTGATTCCATGGAAGAGCAAGTGTACATCGTTTAAATTTATGTTTCGTCCATCCCTTAACAAATGATCCTGGAGACATGATGTGCTGCAGCCGCTGTCCTGTGTGCTGGAGGCACAGCAGGGGCTGAGGCGGACACATCCTGAAGGGGACAGGTCATGAGGAAGCAATGTTGGGTGGGTCCTTCTCTCCCACTCCTCACGTTTCCACACAGGGAGGAAACATCTGTGTCCCCCTTGGATGCAATCACTGTGGAATATTCCTGCCTCTCTCTGTCCCCTCATTTATGTGATTTGTAAAACAGAAATAGAAACTGAGGATGCCTCTTCTCTGTTGTCTTCTTTGTGACCACATGCATTTCTACCCCTTTGGGCATGAAGCCTATAGGAGCTTCCATTGCATCTGGGGATGGGGGTAGGCTAATGGTTGTGATTTTAATTTGGAGAGAAATTTTGTTGAAGATATCAACTATGCTTACCCATAAGCCTCACTAGCAAATTACTAGTTTTGATTGCCACCTGATTCCTATGTGTATTTCACAATTTGCTTTTTCTGGACTTAGAGCAGAGAGAGGGCATGGTTCATTATCACCCCTGAAACACAGGTGAGTAAGATCATTGTGGACTGGAAAGTACTGTGAAGGAAATAAGGAGGGTGAAATGATAGAAATTACTTGGCTCGAGGGGGCTCCTTTAGATGGGATGGTCAGGAAAGGTCACTCTGGAGAGGAGGTGTGAGTAGGACCTAAACCGTGAAGGGGTCAACCCTGACTAGAGCCAAAGGGGGGGTGCTCCCTGCACAGGCACCAGGAAGGGAACAGAGAAGGCAGGAAGCACTTGGTGAGTTCTGGGAAGAGAAAGAAAATCCCATGTGCTTCACCCATAGTAAGAAGAGGCTGTGCATACCTCTATGTAAACTTGTGTATGTTTTTTAACATTTGGAATTGGCAAAGAAGTTTATCACTTGGGGATGGATTAAATATGTTTGGCTACTCTTATAGCATGGAATACCATTAGAAAGGATAATTTTATATTTCACTGATAATATACAGTGAAATGTAAAATTATCTACATGTAGTCAATGCATGTGAGTATAATATGATCTATATTATATTTTAAAATATAAATATATTTATACACATACAGTAGTCCCCCATTATCTGTGGGGGAGATATTCCAAGACCCCCAGTGTATGCCTGAAACTGTGGAGAGTACTGAATCCTTTATACTATGCTTTTTCCTATACATACTTATGGTAAAGTTTAATTTCTAAATTAGGCACAGTAAGAGATTAACAATAATAACTAATAATAAAATAGAACAGTCACAACAACACATTGTAGTATAAGTTATGTAAATGTGATCTCTCTCTCTCTCATTCTCTCTCTTAGAATATCTTAATAGTTTTGGACCACAGTTGACCACATGTAACTGAAATGGGGGAGGTGAAATTGTTGATTAAGGGGGATTACTTTATGTATTTTGGGGCTCATTACATATATGTGAGAAAACTCTGCAAGTTAAATATGTAATTGTTTATCTCTGATTATCTCTAAGGAGTGAGATTATGCATGGACTTACCTTTTGCATAAGTTGCATACCAGAAATGAAGATTTCTTTAAGTGTCCATTTTAGCCACACATTGAAGAACAATCTTCTGTGAACAGAATAAGGGGAAAAAACTTTATGGCTACATTTTTCTGTTCTTACAGAGCATAAAACATTTAGCAGTGGCTGAAGAAGAACATGGCCTGAATGGAGAATGGAAGCAGTTATGGTAACGTGTTGTTCAGCATCATTCAATCTTGCTTGCTGGAACGGGTGAATCACAATTGGGGCATTCTTCTAAGGCTCTTTTTTCACTTATAAATGGTCATCAAACAATATCAAAGGGCAATGTGAAGAGACTCCGATTGGCCGACTGTCATTCTTAGGAGTTTCAATAATGGTTAGCTGCTCAGCTTAAATTAAGTGGTCACAATTGGAGAAAAGGTTTTTTGTTTTTTTTTGAAGCATAATTTAAATCATTGGGATTTGAAATCCAACACAATCATCATGGTACTGCGCACTATCACACTTTTTCTGCTTTCTTTTGCCTGTTTTTGAGTTTAATACACATCATTTCTTCATTCATTTTTAGAATTTTTTCTTACATTTTTATATTTTTTGAAATTAACATTTTGGGGGGAACGGAATTTAGAAGGCAGGCATCCTTTCGTCCTCATTCGGGTAATTAAAGACAAATACGGGCTTCACTAAAATGGGCCCACTCTGCCTTGCTGAATCCCAAGGAGATGGGAGGGCTCATCTTTTGGAAACTGAAGGGGGGATGGTACAAATATTTAAGCATATTTAGCCTGGGCCCAAAAGCTGTTTCTACTGATGTATTTTCTCCAGGGTGGGACCCTGGGAACTTCAAGTGGTCTTTGGCACTTACTTCGGAACTTGACTTATACAGTGTCCAGTATTTGCTTTTCACTCGTTTGATCCTCTGGAGTAGCATTAGTGTTTGAAAAGCACATGGGGATTTTGGCCTACATTCCTGTATTCAGCTCCTGCTTTCTAACGCTTTGTGATTCTCTGTACGTCTCCGCTGGCTCAGTCCCCTCTGCAAAGAGCGGGACATGGTCAGTAATCCTTTTTAGCATCATGTTGAGGTTAAATGATTAACTAGTAAGAATTCGGTGTGTGTTTTAGATTTTCAGTTTAGAGATTTTGAGGAGCTCGTTGCGAGGTAATGGTGGCTAATATGATAGGAATATGTTCCGTGGTGACAGTTCTTGCTACGGTAAACCACCGGAGCTCTTTACAGGCAGGCTGGGTTTTCTGGTGAGGGGGGGGATGGTACTTGTCTCGCTGGGAACAGCCGGGAGGAGCGGCGTCCTGTCTGGGCCAGACAGTGCTTCTGGATGCGTGGGGTGAGCGAGAAGAGGGAAGGAGTCGCGTCGGACCGGCACAGTTCTGGAAAACTTCAGGTGGTTTTGTTTTGTTTAGTTATTTGTTAATTTGTAAGAAGAGGGCGCCTGGGAACACACAGCCCTGACGTCTTTGCAGGGCCGCTGTCACCCAGATCAGGCCTCACAGGGGCTGGTTCCCTGACTGGCTCTTCTTGGCCAGTTCGCTGCCAAAGCGGAGAGGCCTGGGCCCGAAGTTGGTGAGGGGATGTGCGATGGAGGACAAGGGGGAGGGCGTATGAGGAGCAGTGGCCTTTGTGGGGGGAGGCCAGGTAGGTCCCCAGGCTTGGTGCAAGGACCCTGACTGGAAACAGGCTTGGCGGGGGACCCACGCCAGGGATTTGTTCACTCTGCCAGCAGTGGTTCCACTGGCCCTCCCCGGCATCTCCCAATTGCAACCCTTCTCGGGCAGAGGACCCCTTTTCTAATTGGTTATCTGTGGTCTTTCCTTCAAATGTAGCCCTGGGCTTAGAAGAAATCTCAAGGAGAGGAAGGGAGACTATGTGGACTAGGATAGATTTTCCTCTCTCAATGGACCTCGTTGTGAGGTGAAGCCCAGATGCAGAGCTCTCCTGAACTTATGATAGACTTGCTTGTGCAAGTCAGCGCTTTTTCTAACATAATTGACTATAACTCATTACCCACAGGCGAAAATAATGGTTTAGGAAACAGAGCCCTGTGGTAATGCATCTCATCACATTCCCCCTAGAGAGAATTAAAGACTACTACTTTCCTAATAGTGGTGATCCAATGAATGCATTTCCCATTTGGTTCATTTTGTCCTTTCAGCATTCCCAAGGGATGTGTTGTGTGTGTTTACCTGGGATTGGATGGGGACTGGATTTCTGGTTAAAGAGGCAAGACCTAGGCACAGAAAGTTAAAAAAATCAAGATCATGCCATAAATTGATCATGTCATAAATTAATTTCTCTTGATACTCGTTTTATCAATATTAAAATTATTCCACTCTCTAGTTCTCCTGTTTCCCTGTAGAGGAGAGGTTGTAATTTCTTGATCTCTCATGGTTGGAGGTCCCATGGAACCTCTTAAGTCAGCATCTCAGAGAAATATATTTCTCCCAGTGGAGAAAATGTTATTGCAAAATAACCACTTCAGATTTCTCGCTTACAAATATTTTTAACTTGACAGTTCAGATATAACCCGTTTTCTTTAACTTTCTTCAGTGTGCCCCTTCATCTCAAACATCTCCAGATTTCTTTTATTTGTATAAATTTATGGGGTACAGGTATAATTTTTACATAGATAATTGCATAATGGTGAAATCGGGGCTTTTATTGTATCCATCCCTGAAATAATGTACATTATATCCCTCAAGTAATTTCTCATAATCCACCCCTCTCCCACCATTACAAGTCTCCATTGTCTATCACTCCACTTTCCATGTCCATGTGTACACATTATTTAGCTCCACTTATCAATGAGAATGTGTGGTATTTGTCTCCCTGAGTTCAAGGTTTTTGACTCACGATAATGACCCCAGTTACATCCATGTTGCTGCAAAAGACATGATTTAATGTTTTAATGGATGACTCGTATTCCATTGTGGATGTGTAGCACATTTTCTTTATTCAATCATCTGTTGATGGACAAAAGTTGATTCTGTATCTTTGCTACTGGGAACAGTGCTGTGATAATCTTTTGATATAATAGTTTCTTTTCCTTTCTGGTTGCTGGGTAGTTCTATTTTTAGTTCTTTGAGAAATCTCCATGCTGCTTTCCATAGATGTACCAGTTTACACTCCCACCAACAGTGTCTAAGTGTTCCCTTTTCTCCACATCCTCATCGACATCTGTCATTGTTTATCTTTAATAATAGCCATTCTGACTGGTGTAAGATGATATCTCATTGTGGTTTTAATTTGCATTTCTCTGATGATTAGTGATGATGAGCATTTTTTCCCAAGCTTTTTGGCCATTTGTATGTCTTCTTTTGAAATATATCTATTCATGTCTTTTGCCCACTTTTTAATGGCATTACTTTTTGTTGCTGTTGAATTGTCACATTTTATTTCCTAATTCTGGGCTAGAGTCTACAGATAACAAGGACATGTTTCTCTCTCTGTGTCTATCTCTCTTTTTTGCACAAAGTGATAATGTCTGATGATTGTAAAATCCTTCCAGTTCTTTCTTCCTAATTGTCTATTTTTAATTGAGTTCTCTACAGAGCCTTAGTTCTTAAATTGTAGTAGAAGGATCATTTGAAATAAAAGTAATATATTTAATCAATTGAAAAGCACAAAAAATTTTAAGAGGAAGAAAAGTGGGGTTATTTTTCTTTGAAAATAATCTGCTTAGCTAATAGAACTTCCCTCCACTTCCCTCTTTACCCTCCAACCCAAGACTCTCTATTTCATTCAAGTACAAATACCTAGTAACTCCAAATCTTGAAATTCTTATTTCTTGTTTCAAGCCAATTTTAACCTTATTTTACCCACTTGACTTCATACCTAGTACCAACCCTTCAAAGCACTCATGGAGCCTTTTCATCATCCCAACCAGATTGGTGGTCCCTTCTGTGATAGACAAAAGTACTTACTATTAGAATGCTTTATGGTTTTGCTTAAATAACCTTCTCCTTTTAGCATTTTTATTGTTCATTTTTCAGATGAGGCTATTTCAGAAAAACAAATATGACTCACCAACACCTGGATGGAGCTAAGGATAATATTTTGGTGCATATCCGTTCAGCTTAGCATAATTAACACAGTTCTATTTTTTTCTGTTGAGGACAATATGATGATATTAACACAGCATGCTGTGGATATAAAGAGATGTCATTATGTTTCTATTATTAGCTTTTAATACTTGAAGTCAATAGAGCAAGAATATTTCCTGTGGAAAGTCTTAGATGTGAGTATTAATATTTATGTTGATTAATATTTTATATTTTATCAAGAATAACTATTACAAAGCATACTTGGCTGCATCAATAGTGATGAACTTTTATAAATGAAGATCTATTTGAAAGAGAAGTGTTTACTGACTACCATTAAATACAATAGGTAGGGCTGGGCCTAAATTTTCTTTTAACATTTTGCTATCTCTGAGGCAGAAATACCTTCTCCATATGGCTTAAATATTTGCTTTCTTTCTTTCTATATCTCTCTTTTTCTTTTTTTATAAATTCACTTATGAGGTGGGGCAAGATGCCTGACAGGAGACATTGGTTGCCAGATCATCTCAGAAAGAACGAACAGTTTTAGATGACAAAAACATAGCTCAGGTGTAATTGTGAGGGAAAAGTGCCAAAAGCTACTGGAGATTCCACGGGAAGAGCCTGCCCTTCCACCTCTAGCAGACTGTAGGCTCCAGAGCTGCTGGAGAGTGTTTCTACCCTCACAAACCTAAAAGCTACTGCCACCAGTGAACTGGGAGCTTCTTGAGAACAAAGCACCAGGCTACAAGCTCTACCAGGATCACAACCCATCATGGCAGACCCAAGCCCAAATAACCTTTGTCTTTTTTTAACCATTTTTAAAGTCTGTTGTATCTGATATGAGACTGGTTACACCTGCTCACTTTCGGTTTCCATTTGCATGAAATATTTTTTGCTATCCAATTACCATGAATCTGTGTGAGTCCTTGTGGTTTAGATATATTTCTTGGAGACAGAAAATATCTCACATATCAATACTAACAGTTCATATTGAGTGTTAGTATTGATATGTGAGATACTGCTTTGTTCAACATATTAGATAATACCTAAATATATGTGCATTTAATAAAGGAGATCCCAGTTACATAGAGCAAGTTTTTCTAGATGTAAGCAACGAAATAAACAGTAGCATCTTAATTGCCAGGAATTTCAACACTCTACTGAGTGACAGAACATCAAAGCAGAAAATGAATAAAGAAACGGTGGACTTAAACAGGAGTCTAGAACAAATGGACCTAACAGATACTTACAGAACATTCTACCCCCAAACTACTGAATATACATTTTTTCTTATCAGCATATGGGACATTTTCTAAGATTGATCATATCTTAGGTCACAAAACAAGTCATAGAAAATTTAAAAATTTCAAAATAATACCATGTATCTTAGACCACAGTGGAGTAAAACTATTAATAGAAATCAACTCCAAGAGAAACAGTCAAGTCTACACAAAGTCGTGGAAATTAAACAACCTGCTGATTAATAATCTTTGGGTCAATGATGAAACAAAGATGGAACTCAAAAGATTCCTTGAACTGAATGACAAAGGGAACACAGACATTCAAAGTCTATGGGATACAGTAAGAGCAGTCCTATGGGGAAAGTTCACAGCTTTAAAGATCACAAATTAATAATCTAATGTCACATTTCAAGGAACTAGAAAAAGAAGAACAAACAAAACGCAAAGCCTGCAAGAGAAAAGTAATAACAAAGCTCAGAGCAGAACTAAATGAAATGGAAACAAACAAAATACAAAGGATTGATGAAACAAAAAGTTGGTTCTTTGAAGAGATAAATAAAATCCATAGACTACTAGCCAGATTAAACAGAAATATAAGAGAAAGTACTCAAATAACCATATAAAGAATAAGGTAAGGATGTACATCGTTACCACTCTTTTCTATTATTTTCATCTTTTTATTGGAGATCCTGACCAATACAGTTAAAAAAAAGAGGAAGAAGAAATACATGCGCAGGCACACACACAAACATTTGCTAAAGAAGAAACAAACTAATTACACACAAATGACATGATTGTATAAGTGGTTGATCTAACAGAATTTTCTGACATATCATTAAAATTATAAGAACATTTAACAAGCTGGCTTATTACATAATCAACATGAAAATGCAATATATTTTTAAACAGCAATAAAAACAATTAAAATAAAATTTTATAAAATTCACATAGGGATGGACTCACACACAAACCGAAAAGAATGGAAATCATGGAAGCAGATTTGTGCCTTTGTTAGGACTTGCCATACGAGAGGCTGCATGGCATGGCCAATCACCAAGGAAAGGAAGAATGTTGCAATTGCTACGACAATTGAGTTTCCTTGAAGATACTCAAACCCTGAAAAACTTTCAATTCCTGGTTTGTTCAAGACCTGTATCAAAGGCAGACATATAAAGTTTTTAAGAGCTATGTAAGGGGAGGAGTTTAAAAATAGTATAAAGATTGCTATTGTAAAATAATATACCAAATTGAAAAAGCCTTTGGATTGCATTTTAAAAATTGTTAAATTTTACTAGATTGTATTAACATCTTCTATTGACAAGCACAAGTTATAAAATGGATTTATTTTTATTTTATTTGCTTTTAGAAATGAAGGATTCATCATTTCATGATCTTGAAATTTACAATTGGAAACTCTTCTTCAGTTTTCAAAGTACTTTTTTTGTATTTATTTTTTAATACATGTTTTGAGCAAGACAGATGGTAGCCAGAAATGTCCAAATCTTCTTGTGAGAGATGGCAAAGCGATATTATGAATCAAATGTAGCACAGCAATCTATCAGTAGAATATTACACTACCAGGGAACTGGTAGAAACAGAGAGGAAATTTCTGTACAGTTACATAAGCTAGAAATGGGTGAGCTGATTCAAAATTGGCTGAAGAGAATTTTTCAGAAAGAGAGGAGAAAACCACAACACGTAATCTTATGTAACACAACATTTCGGGGGGGAAAAAAGAAGCTGGACAGATTTAAAATGTTCAGAGATTATTGAAAGTAAGATAACTTGGTCTCCAAATATCAGAGTAAATCTCTGCTTTAGAATATTCCTGTCCTATAAGTCCAGGTGAGTTCCTTCTTTGTGTCATAAAGATTTATATATTATAAGAATTCCAACTTGTCTCGAGGTTACTGACATGTTTTTCCTTCTGATGTCCTCATCCATGCAAAATTATTGTCATCTGCCTGATAAGGGTCAAGAATTTACATTTCCTGGTAATCCAGGCTGAGATGAGAATGGCTCTGAATATCTCATTAAAAGTAGAACTAATTTGACATAAATGTATAAAGAGCTTCTAATAAAAGGACTATAAAATTAAAAATGAAACAACTAAAAATCTAAGATCCTCATAAATCCACTGTTTGAAAAACTAATCTGTACACAATGTCTCTGTCCTTGCTTTTGTTGCATTGCTAATGTTACGAAGAAGGTGATGAAGACATGTGATGAAGAAATTTGATAAAGCACACATGCGTATTTATAGTCCCTCAGCCATTACGTCATGGTATCCTTTAGAAGTTCTTAGGAGGAAAAGACTTACTCTAGAATGGCTCCAAAGTGACCGGTGGGTCTTGTCCTCAAAGCACATCTAATCACATCATATGGTTCCTGAGGCCTCACCCAGTGAGGACCTCTAACTTTGAATCAGCTGGAGCTAGACTAGCTTCTAGATCTAGAATGAGTGTTAGGTGAGCTACTGTGGCTGGGCCCCTTTGATCGGTCACTTTTATTTGTAAATAAAGTTTTATTAGAATGCAGCCATAGTCATTCATTTACACTATGTCTGTTTTTGCCAGGGTTGAGATGTGATGACAGAGAAGATAGTTTTCACAGTCTTGTGTATTTCTTGTGGCTCTTTCCAGGAAAACGTGACTATCTATTGACCTAGCAAATGTATAATACACCTAACCTGTGGTATAATTTCCATGGGTACAAACTTTGCTAGTATTGCCTGTTTCTCAATTTTTGGAGTTAGATTTTCAATAACCCCAATGATGAATAATCCATTAAAATCTACACATTTTAGTGGGAATAAAATAGTGTCTGATGGTGGCTTTATTTAATTTACACTTTCTTGGTGACTAATGGTGATGAACAGGCTTTGATGTATTTATTAACCCAATGCATTTCTTTTGAGAAATTTCTGTTCAAGTGCTTTGCCCGTTTTATAAAATGTAGTTGTTTATCATTTTTATTAATTTGAAAGTGTTCTCTGTATGTACTGTTGACAGTTTCTTTAGTGGGGTGGGGAAGCTGCGGCCTTGGGGCCACACATGGCCTGTTGGATCTTTGAGTGCAGCTTTTTTACTAAATCCGAATTTTACACAACAAATCCTTTTAATGAAGGGATTTGTCTGTGAGGCTTGGATTCAGTCCAGGGGCTGTACTTGGGGATCTGGAGGGCAACCTGTGGCCTTGATGCCATGGGTTCTCCACCCCTGCTGGGTGCGGAGTGAGGCCTAATATTAATCAATTTTTCCAGTTTTATGTCTACTGGTTTTTGTGTCCTTTTCCAAATCTATTCCTGTTCAAGTCATGAAGGCATTCATCTATTTTCCTATCAAAAGTTTAAAGTTTCAGTTTATATGTTTAGGGCAATAATATTTCATTTTAACGTGAAATTTATTGTAGTACAGGACAAAAGTGCCAACTTCCATATGTCACAGGGAGCAGAGCCCCTCCCTGTGCTGCCCTTCAGTATCTGTCACATGGGCCCCTCCTTCCTCAGCGCTCTCCTCAGGGCACCCTTGACCTCTGCGTTCCTCAGGCTGTAGATCAGGGGGTTCAGCATGGGGTTGAAAAAGCTGTAAAACAGGAAAAGGACCTTCTGCTGCTCCTCAGGATGGCGGGACTTGGGGGCCACGTACATGACGATGGCGCTGCCAAAGAAGAGCCCGACCACGCAGAGGTGGGAGGAGCAGGTGGAGAAGGCCTTTCTGCGGCCCTCCCCGGCCTGGATGCTCAGGATGGCCAGCAGGATGCGCGAGTAGGAGACCAGCACCAAGCAGAGGGGCCCCACCAGGACAAACACGCAGGCTGTGAAGATGACCACTTGGTTGAGCCGGGTGTCAGCACAGGCCAGCTTGAGGACAGACAGGATTTCACAGAAGAAGTGGTTGATTTCATGAGGCCCACAGAAGGGCAGCCTCAGGATGAGAACTAAATGGACCAGAGCCAGGAGGAAGCTGAACACCCAGGAAGTGACGGCCAGGACAATGCACACTCTCCAGCTCATCATCACAGTGTAATGTAGGGGGTGGCAGATGGCCACATACCGGTCATAGGACATCACCACCAAAATCAGGCACTCCGTAGCAGCAAACACCAAATACAAGAAAGTCTGCATTATGCATGGAACAAAGGAGATGGTTCTCTTCTGGTTCACAAGATTCCCCAGCATCTTGGGGACACTGTTGGAAGCATAGGACATGTCAACTATGGCCAGGTGTGAGAGGAAGAAGTACATGGGGGTGTGAAGTCTAGAGTCCAGGCAGATAAGGCCCAGGATGACCCCGTTCCCCAGCAGGGTAAATGTATAGAAAAGAGAGAAAAGTCCAAATAGGAAAAACTCCAGTGCTGAGCTGACCTGGAATCCCAGCAGGGTGACTTCTGTGATCCATGTCTGGTTGCCTCCCATGCTCCTGTGGCAGAGAAAGACAAATCCTCATCTAGGACAGAAAGGTCAGAGCTGTGGATCAATCAAAAACACAAAATAGTCACTGAATATTACAGAAGAAATATTTAGAAATGTATCACTTTAGATGGATTTTCTAGAATTTATTTTCAGACATGCTACAAAAAATAACTTGATATGCTCATTAAAATGAGAAAATATACCCTATATTAACGTAAAAATACATACATGTAAAATTTTTATATGTAATAAAATTTATTGTATTTCAAAATAGGACCTATTACAATGTGCCTATGTTAGAGGATACACATACACACATGCACGTTTTTTCTCAGAATATTTAAGTATCCTGGATTACCTTTCAGGGTGGAAGTCTTGATTATTAATTCCCTGTCATCTGCCCTTATCTGCAGGGGATACGTTCCCATAGCCCCAGTGGATGCCTGAAACTGCAAGTGGTACAGAACTCTGTATAGACTGTGTTTTTTCATATACATGATGTGCATTTCCTATATGTGATAAAGGTTAATTTATAAATTAGGCACAGTAAGTGATTAATATTAACATTACAATAGAGCAGTTTCAACAAATACTATAATAACAGTCACCACACTGTTGGTGATGGCTGTGACTTTTACAGATTGAGATGTGACAGCAAAACTAGCATGAATTTCTTTCTTCTTTACAAATCTTAGCAAGCTCACCATAAGATTTTTTTCCTTTCCTGGTTAAATGGGGGAACTTGTACCTCTTGATTTAAAGGAAGCACTTCACAGCTTCCCTTTGGTGTATCTGGATCGTCATCATTACTGCTCTTGGACTTTGGGGTCATAATTAAGGGAAATAAATGTTCCTTGAACACAAGCACTGTGATACTGCGACAGTCTATCTAATCACTGAGGCATCTACTAAGTGACTAATGGCAGGTGGTGTAGACAGCATGGAGATCCTGTACAAATGGGTGATTCACGTCCCAGGCAGGGTGCAATGGATTGGTGAGATATCATTATGCTACTCAGAATGGTGTGCAATTTAAAACTTACAAATTATTTATTTCTGGAATTTTCCATTTAATAAGTTGGACCTCAGTGGACTGCAGGTAACTGAAATCACAAAAGCAAAAACATGGATTAGAGGGGACTCCTGTAGTTAGAAGAGAGATGGCCATGACAAAAGACCCCAGTAAGAGGTATTTTCATTTCCTAGGCTTTTTGCCTTCTCAGTCCAAGAAATGCAGTGATTAGGGCCCTCTGTTCTTTTAATACTTGCTTACTAATCCACTGATCTTCTCACATGCTTTCTACCACTAATTTCATATTTAAAATCCCTGTAACTCAACTTCTCAATTTTGTAGTATCTTTAAAATTGTGTAAGGTGTTCCTTTTCTGCAGCTGCCCGATACTCCTTAGAAGCACCTTTGGGTACCCATTTTATGTGTCTGGTGTTTGTAATTTTATTTCAAGAATTTAATTTACTTCTTCATCAGCACTTGATACTAAAATGTAGTCATAAGTGAAAGACTTCTTGGACTACATGCAATGAGCGCATGTCTAGGTCTTAAATATAATTAAACACGTGACATTTCTGAGGCCTTTTAAAAAAACGGGGAAACCAATTTACCTTAAGAGTGGTTACATTTAAATGTGATCGCTGTATTGTAATTGTATTTTGTTTGGCTCTTTCTTTTCCCTATTGTAGTGTAATATTATGACAAATTTCAGAGCTGGTCTTATTTTCTCGTGTGACAGAATCTTTTCTTCCTTAAGATTCCTTCCCAGCTTGGACAACTCGGATTGCCATCAAATGCCCTAATTGGCTTCTTCCTTGTCACTTGTTACCATGGCAGCAGCCTATTGCTATTCGGATAGATCCTGAGCCAGGCACAGGGGCTGCTTCAAGTGGAGCACCAGTTCCTCAGCTCTCTCCTGTGAGCTGTTCCTGAGAGCGCCCTGGGTCTGTCCAGTCACTAGAGTGAAACCGAGGGCCATGAGAGGGATGGACGACGCCATTTCTTAGGGAAACCATGTGGTCTGTTCCTGTCCCTTTAGGCTTTCTTCATATTTTTTCCTTTAGCTCACGAAGATCAGTCTTTATTTTTTAATCATGCTAAAGTTTCAATTCTAACAAAATATTTTTAAAGAGTTATTTTGGTGTTTACTTTCTAGTAATAACTTAGACCCTCAAATATATACATATGCATATTAAATATACCTGGGCTGTCCAGAAAGTATCCAGCCATTGTTAATATAATTTTTCATATTCCATGGCTGTATACTTTCTGAACAGTCCCGGTATATATGTGCATATTAAAATTGGAAAACTATAATGGGATTATGTAGACATTTTTAAGCTACCATTTTCACTTAATCTAATAAACGTTTTTGTGTATTAAAACAATATATAATATTATGCAAAATAAATATTATATATATAAATAAATATATAATATGTAATATATAAAAGCAGTGTGATATTCCTTTATATCACAACTTAATTCTTTATTTTAAGAAGTTTTTGGTTTCTATTTCTTTATGTTCAGTAGCATAGAGATAAGTATTCTTAAAAACTTAATTTTTGTACATATTCATGATTATTTCTTTAGGATATATTCTAAAAGTAAAATTGCAGATTCTAAATATATAGACATTTAAAAGCTTCTGATACCTATTGACAGTTTTTTTTTCCAGAAAATTTATACAATATAAATTTTATAGATTTATACCAAGATAAACACCACTGACAGTGTGCCTCAGAGTCATGCCTCTTGTCCACATGGTCATCAGTATTTGAGCTTCATTAGTTTTAACCTTTGCTAATTCCACGAGTGAACAAGTCTATGTGGTTTAAATTTATGTTTCGTCCATCCCTTAACAAATGATCCTGGAGACATGATGTGCTGCGGCCGCTGTCCTGTGCGCTGGAGGCACAGCAGGGGCTGAGGCGGACACATCCTAAAGGGGACAGGTCAAGAGGAAGCAGTGTTGGGTGGGTCCTTCTCTCCCACTCCTCACGTTTCCACACAGGGAGGAAACGTCTGTGTCCCCCTTGGATGCAATCACTGTGGAATATTCCTGCCTCTCTCTGTCCCCTCATTTATGTGATTTGTGAAACAGGAAAGAGAAGCTGAGGCTGCCCCTTCTCTGATGTCTTTTTTGGCCACATGCATTTCTACCCCTTTGGGCATAAAACCTATAGGAGCTTCTGTCCCATTTGGGGATGGGGGTGGGCTAAGGGTTGTGATTGTAATTTGGAGAGAAATTTTGTTGAAGGTATAACCTATGCTTACCCATAAACCTCACTAGAAAATTACCTAGTTTTCATTTCCACCTGTGTGTATTTCACCTATGAAATACACCTATGTGTAAATACACCTATATGTATTTCACAATTTGCTTTTTCTGGACTTAGAGCAGAGAGAGGGCATGGTCCATTATCACCCCTGAAACACAGGTGAGTAAGGTCATTGTTGACTGGAAAGTACTATGAAGGATATAAGGAGGGTGAAATGATAGAAATTACTTGGCTCGAGGGGGCTCCTTTAGATGGGATGGTCAGGAAAAGTCTCTCTGGAGAGGAGGTGTGAGTAGGACCTAAACCGTGAAGGGGTCAATCCTGACTAGAGCCAAAGGGGGGATGCTCCCTGCACAGGCACCAGGAAGGGAACAGAGAAGGCAGGAAGCACTTGGTGAGTTCTGGGAAGAGAAAAAAAAAATCCTATGTGCCTCATGCATAGTAAGAAGAGGCTGTATATATCTCTGTGTAAACTTGTGTATGCTTTTAAACATTTGGATTTGATAAAGAAGGTTATCATTTGAGGATGGATTAAATATGTTTGGCTACTTTTATAGCATGGAATACCATTAGAAAGGATAATATAGTTCTTTATACAGTGAAATCTAAAATTACCCACAGGTAGTCAATGCATGTGAGTATAATATGATCTGTATTATATTTTAAAATATAAACATATTTATACACATGCAGTAGTCTCCAATTATTCCAAGACCCCAAGTGCATGCCTGAAACTATGGAGAGTACTGAATCCTATTATACTATGCTTTTTCCTATACATACTATGGTGAAGTTTAACTTCTAAATTAGGCACAGTAAGAGATTAACAACAATAACTAATAATAAAATAGAACAGTCACAACAACATGTTGTAGTAAAAGTTATGTAAATGTGATCTCTCTTTCTCTCTCATTCTCTCTCTTAGAATATCTTAATATTTTTGGACCACAGTTGACCACCTATAACTGAAATGGGGGAGGTGAAATTATTGATCAAGGGGGATTACTTTATGTATTTTGGGGCCCATTACATATATGTAAGAAAACTCTGCAAGTTAAATATGTAATTGTTTATCTCTGATTATCTCTAAAGAGTAAGATTATACATGATTATACATTTACCTTTACATTATACAAGATTATACATTTACCTTTTGCATAAGTTGCATACCTGAAATGAAGATTTCTTTAAGTGTCCATTCCAGCCACACATTGAAGAACAATCTTCTGTGAACAGAATAAGGGGAAAAAACTTCATGGACACATTTTTCTGTTCTTACAGAGCATAAAACATTTAGCAGTGGCTGAAGAAAACATGAGCTCTGAATGAGAATGAAAGCAGTATGAGTAACAGTGTTGGTCAGAACATCATTTCAGTCTTGCTTCTGAATAGTGAACAACATCACAAACTTGGGGCACTTTTTCTTAGCCTCATTATTTTCATTTATAAAATGGTGTCAACAAATATCAAAAGCGCTGATGTGATAAAGAAATACCATTGCACTAGTACATTTTAGGAGTTTAATAAATGTTAGTTGTCACTAATGATATTTAAGAGATCACAAAATTGAGAAAAGAATTGAAATCATTGGGATTTGAAATCCAATACAATCATCGTGAAATTGCAAACACTGTTATACTTTTCTTACTTTTCTTTTTGCCTGCCTTTGAGTTTAAATATAAAACATTTTACTTTCATTTAGAAATTTTTCTACATTTTTATTTTGAAAATTAAAATTGAAAAGAAATTTAAAGAAAGGCAAGGATCCTTTAAAGTAACCTCATTCCGGTATTAAAGAAACAAAAAATACAGGCTTCAAAACTAAAAGGGCAACTCTGCCTTGCTGAATATCCCAATGAGAGAGAGAGGCTAAATCTTTTGGAAAGGAAGGGGTAGTGGAATATTTAGGATATTTAGCACTGGCCCAAATGAAGTGTTTCTACTGATCATTGTCTCGGAGTGGGATCCCTGGGGCTATCAAAGGTGGGGTTCTAGGGCAGCACAGACTGGCCAAAGCTTTGCACTTCTTTCCAAATCTTTGCACAAATCTTTGCTCAGAAATTACTTATCATCTGCAATAATTTACTTTGGCACTCAGTTTGATCCTACTGAGTAACATAGTTTTAGAAACAAACAAGCAAACATGGATTCTAGAGTCTACACCTGGGTTCAGATCCTGGCTTTGCTACAAACCAGCTTTGTGACTTCTCTGTACCTCTCCCTGCCTCAGTTCCCCCATCTGCAAAGAGGGGCATGTAATAAATCCTCTCATAGCATAGATGTGAGGATTAAATGAATTAACTCACGGAAGAACTTCGTGTGTGTTTTAGGATATATTATTAGGGACTTGAGGAGCATCCTTGGAGGGTAACTGTGGCTACAATAATGATAAGGAAATATGTTCCGTGGTGCACAGTTCCTCTGCTAAGAACCACGAAGAGCATCTTTATGCCCAGCAGGCCCTGGGTTTTCTGTGAGAGGATGGTACTTGTCTCCCGGACAGCCGAGAAGCGGGTCCTGTCTGGCCAGACAGTGCTTCTGAGGATGCGTGGGGTGGGCAGAGAGAAGAGAGAAAGGAGATTGGCCTGCAAACCACGTCACAGTTCTGACTTCAGGTGTTTTGTTTTGTTTAGTTTTTAATTTGTAAGAAGAGGCTCCTGGGACACACAGCCGCTGACGTTCTTTGCAGCCCTTCACCCAGATCAGAGCCTACAGGGCTGGTTCCCTGACTGCTCTTCTCGGGCACAGTCGTGCCAAAGCCGAGAGCTGCCCCAGAATGGTGAGGAGGATGTGGATGGAGGGGACAAGAGGGTAGAGGAGCTGTGGCCACACTGTGGGAGAGGCAGTGGTCCCCAGAGCTCCGCTCAGGACCCTGACTGGGAACACAGACTTAGGGCCGGAAGGAGACCCCACAGCGAGGGCATCTTGTCACTCATGCCACAGGCAGTGGTTTCATTCACTGCCCCTCCCCCATCTCCCAATTGCAACCCCCTTCTCAGGGCAGATGAACTCCCTTTACTTACATTGGTATAATCTGTGGTCTTTCCTTCAAATGTAGCCCTGGGCTTAGAAGAAATCTCAAGGAGAGGAAGGGAGACTATGTGGACTAGGATTGATTTTCCTCTCTTGATGGACCTTGTTGTGAGGTGAAGCCCAGATGCAGAGCTCTCCTGGACTTATGATGGACTTGCTTGTGCAAGTCAGCGCTTTTTTTTATCATCTTTTGACTATGACTCACTCCTCACAAACAAAAATAATGACTTGGGGAACAGAACCCTATAGTAATACATTCTCTCTAGAGAAAACTGAAGAATTTGCTACTTTCCTGTCAGCAGTGAGCCAACCAATGAATGCATTTCCCATTTGATTCATTTTGTTCTTTCAGGGTTCCCATGAGACATGTTACGTGTGTTTCCTTGGGGTCAGAGGGAGACAGGATTTCTGTTAATAGACAAGAGCCTTTGCACAGAAAATGAAAAATTAAGAATCATGCCATAAATTAATTTGTCTCAAAACTTACTTATTTTATCTATCTTAAAATTGTTCCACTCTAATTGCTCCTGGTTCAATGTAGCAGAGAGGCTGTGATTTCTTGACTTCTCATAGTTGGAGGTCCATGGATCTTGTTAATGCACCATCTCAAACTATGGGGAAAATAGATTTCTCCCAATGGATAAAGCATTATTGCAAAATAACCACTCCAGATTTTTCACTTACAAATATATTTGACTTGGCAATTCAGGTACACCTCTTCTTCTCCCTTAATTTACTTCTGTGTGTCCTCCATCTCAAACATCTGCAGATTATTACCTACATTTTTGTTTTCTCATCCTAGGGTAAGAACTACAGATTGAATGAGTATACTTTCCCCTTTATGTCTCTCTCCATTTTCTTTTTCTTTTGGCACTAAGTGATAATATGTGATGATGTAAAATCTTTCCACTTCTTTCTTCCTAAGTACTCTTAATTTGGTTCTTCACAGAGTCTTAATTCTTAACTATGGTGGAAGGAGCACTTCAAAATAATAATAATAGATTTATTTAATCTGTTGTGAAGAACAGTTAAATATATATTCAAGAAGAGTAAAATATATATTTAAAATATGTATACATATGTATGTCTTTTAAAATAATCCGAGCTTCCCTCCACTTACCCCCTTATTCTCAAACACCACTCCTACTTCATTCAACATCTCTTCCCCCATAGGTCCACTCTTGAAATTCTTATTCCTTGTTTCAAGTCCATTTTATCCTTGTTTTATCCACTTGATTTCATACCTAGTACCAATCCTTCGGTGTACTCATGGAGCCTCTTCAACTTTCCCAACCCAAATTGGTCTCCCTTTTGTGAAAGACCAAAGCACTGATTATTAGAATGCTTCAGGGTTGTCCTTAAATAACCTTTTACTTTTGGTATTTTTAATTGGTCATTTTTTTCCTACAAGGTTATTACAGAAAAATGAATTTGACTCACCAACACCCAGGAACAACTAGAGATAATATTGTGGGGCATGTTTGTTCAGATATGCATAATTAGTACAATCTTGTTTCTTCTGTTGAGGAAAATTTAATGACATTTAACACAGTTTATTGTGGCTATAAAGAGGTGTAATGATATTTTTAGATTTTAAACTTTGAAGTGGCTAGAGAAAAATATTTTCTGCATCTTAGACATTTTTAATGGTATTAATATTTATATTGATTAATATTTTATATTTAGTAAGGAAAAATATTGCAAAATGTACTTGGCTTCACCAGTAGTGATGAACCTGTTAAATGAAGATCAATTTTGACATAGGAGTCTTTGCTGAACCTTTAAATACAACAGCTGGACCTAAATTTTCTTATAACATTTTGCCATCTCTGATACAGAAATATCTTCTCCACATGGCTTGAGTCATTTTTTAGAGACAGGCTCTTGCTCTATCACCCAGGCTGGAGTGAAGAGTCCTGATCATAGATTACACACAGGATGTAACCTTGACCTTGTGGACTCACGTTATCTCCCTCCTCAGCCTCCCAAGTAACTGGGACTACAGGTGTGTGCCACTACATCAGGCTAATTTTTTAATTTTTTTGTAGAGATAGGGGTTGCTATGTTGCCTAGGCTGGTCTTGAACTCCTGGCCTCAAGTGATCCTCCCACCTTGGCCTCTGAAAGTGCTGGGATTACAGGTGTGAGCTACTGCACCCTACCTGGCTTGAGTCTTTTATTTTTTTAAGTTCACTTAGTACATAGTATTTCAATGGGTTAGTTAAGGTAGATAAAATAATATAAGCAATGATAAAGATTCTGGAATACTGAGGGCTGTTTTCACCATAACTTCTGTCATTATATATATATTTTAACTGTATGAAGCTATTTCAGGATGTGCTCCATCAAAACAGGAGTGTAAACCAAAAACGAGGATGGCATCAAGTTCATGAACTGGGGAATACAACTCAGGATAAAGTCAGGTGAAATTGCTAGGACGCAACAAGCCCAGATAGAGGGAAAACAGAAGTCTCCCAAGGTATGTCTGCAATAAAAAGTTATAATGGATGGATTATCCTTAGCTAATATATCCTCAAATGGGAATTAGAAGGTGTAGAAAGACTTAGCAATAGGCATAAAGAAACGAAGAGAAATAGGCAAGTAATTAACATTCTTTTATTATTAACACTTGCGTCTATAATGAACACTCTAATTTATGCATACTTCCTAGCTATGAAGTCAAATATAAGAAAATATTGGCCAAACAAATAGTTTTCTTTCAAACTCATTGCCACTGCTGATGTGTTGTGGATAAACGTGCTTCAGAAAGGGTTTTACTTTTCTTTCTTACAACATCAGACTTTTCCAGCAGTTGCCTCCTCATGGTTGGTCTTATTAATGGGACTACAACATGACATGTCTCTTTGATCAGGGGATGGAGAGTTGGTGTTGGCCACCAGTATCTTTCTTAATTTTTTTTCCCTGAGGGAGTAACTGGCAGAGAGTCATTTATTTATTCATTCATTTATTTATATTTGTATTTTGTGGCTTACATTTTTTCTTTCTTTTAAAAACTACATTATTGAGGTATGATTGACATGTAAAAACTGTACATATTTAATGTGCACAACTTGATGGGTTTAGGGATAAGTATACACTTATGAAATCATCAATACCTTCAAGGATACAGACATATTAATCATCTCCAAAGTTCCTTCTGTACTTCTTTATTGTCATTATTTATTCTGTGATAAGAACACATAACATATGATTTATCTACCCTCTTAGGAAATTTAAAGTATACAATACAGTATTGGCAGCTATAAGCACTATGCTGGTTAGTAGATTCCCAGTACTTATTTATCTTGCATAACTGAGACTTTGTACCATTTGACTATCACCGTCTCTGTTTCTCCTCCTCCCAGGCCCTGGCAACCACTGGTTTACTCTCTACTTCTATAAGTTCCACTATTTTTAGATGCCACATACCGGTAAGATCATACCTATATGTATTTGTTTTTCTTTGTCTTGCTTATTTCACTTAGAATAACATCATCCAGGTCCATCCATATTGTTGCAAATGTCAGAGTTTCAGTCATTTTTATAGCTTAATAGTATTAGAGTATATTTATATACCACATTTTCTTTAAGCATTCATCCATCAGTGGGCATTTAGGTTGTTTCAGTGTCTTGGAAATTTTTAATAAAGCTGAAATGAATGTGGGGGTGTATATATCTCTTTGAGATAGTGATTTTATTTCCTTTGGCTATACACCCAGATATGGGATTGATAGATTAAATAGTAGCTCTCTTTTTAATTTTTTGAGAAACCTCCATAGTGTTTTCCATAATGTCTGTACCAATTTACATTCCATGAACAGTATAAAAGGGTTTTCTTTTCTCCACATTTTTGCCAACACTTATTATATTGCCACTTTTTGATAATGCGTATCCTAATATTATCTATTTTTAAATAGCAAAGTGGGAATGAAGATAATAAAGATGAAGGTATAACCATTTATTCATCTCAGTGCAAAAGCAAATAGACTAAAATGTCAAGAAACTAATGCTTTTATTGAGTAACAGTAAGTTGAATTATCTTCAACAATGTGATCCTATATGTTCAGAGATTAAATATGTTTCAGTCATTGTTTATTGTGTCTAACTGTGTCTCACTATAATTTTGTAATAGTGATGCTACTATTCTGAACTTTGCATACTACAAGACCACTCGAATTGTAGCAAAAATCAATGCCACAACCTTAATGCATATTTGTATAGAACCCTCCCAAATATAGTCGTATGTATAAAAATTAAACAACCTACGATTTTGTCTTTCTTTCCTCAAGCCATTGTTCTCAAAGATATATTATTCATGGAATTTATCCTTGTCTTAGACTTGATAGTTTACAAAAGATCATAGTACTGCTATGTCTATCTTAGACATTATTTCTTAGGTTATTTTACTTTCACATGAAGCAGTTTCTCCAAAGAGCTATTACTCTGAAATTGTCTTCTTAGAAGCATCAATTCAAACCATGTATAAGACACTATATTAGTTATGTAGGGCTGGTGTGAAAAATTACCACACATATGGTGGCTTAAAACAATAGAGATGTATTCTTTCACAGTCCTGGAGTCTCTTCTGAGGAAGAGGCCTGTGATTCTGCTGCACCACCCCTTCAAGCTTACACAGCAAGGCTACTGGATAAGCACAGTGTGTAGTAACACAGTATTTCTGAAAGACCCATATGACTTTTCCAACTCCAGATCGGCCTGGCTGAGAATTTACATTTACCTGTGCCTCATATCCTCTAAAGATGTACAAAATTCTCAACATTTTTCATTACTGAATCCATCTGTCACATGGGCCCCTCCTTCCTCAGCGCTCTCCTCAGGGCACCCTTGACCTCTGCGTTCCTCAGGCTGTAGATCAGGGGGTTCAGCATGGGGTTGAAAAGGCTGTAAAACAGGGAAAGGACCTTCTGCTGCTCCTCAGGATGGCGGGACTTGGGGGCCATGTACATGACGATGGCGCTGCCAAAGAAGAGCCCGACCACGCAGAGGTGGGAGGAGCAGGTGGAGAAGGCCTTTCTGCGGCCCTCCCCGGCCTGGATGCTCAGGATGGCCAGCAGGATGCGCGAGTAGGAGACCAGCACCAGGCAGAGGGGCCCCACCAGGATGAACACGCAGGCTGCGAAGATGACCACTTGGTTGAGCCGGGTGTCAGCACAGGCCAGCTTGAGGACAGACAGGATTTCACAGAAGAAGTGGTTGACTTCATGAGGCCCACAGAAGGGCAGCCTCAGGATGAGAACTAAATGGACCAGAGCCAAGAGGAAGCTGAACACCCAGGAAGTGACGGCCAGGACAAGGCACACTCTCCAGCTCATGATCACAGTGTAATGTAGGGGGTGGCAGATGGCCACATACCGGTCATAGGACATCACCACCAAAATCAGGCACTCCGTAGCAGCAAACACCAAATACAAGAAAGTCTGCATTATGCATGGAACAAAGGCGATGGTTCTTTTTTGGTTTAGTAGGTTTGCCAACATTTTGGGGACATTGTTGGAAGCATAGGACATGTCCAGGATGGCCAGGTGTGAGAGGAAGAAGTACATGGGGGTGTGAAGTTTAGATTCCAGGCAGATAATCCCAAGGATTACCCCATTTCCCAGAAGAGTGAGCGTATAGAAAAGAGAGAAAAGTCCAAATAGGAAAAACTCTAGTACTGGGCCAACCTGGAATCCCAGCAGGGTGACTTCTGTGATCCATGTCTGGTTGCCTCCCATGCTCCTATGGCAGAGAAAAGCAAGATCGCATCCAGTACAGGAAAGTCAGAGCTGTGGAGCAATCAAAAACACAAAATGATTACTTAGTGTTACAGAAAGACATTTAGAAATGTACTACTTTGCATTTTTTTCTAGAGTTTATTTTCAGACATGTTGCAAAAACTGACTTGGTGTGCTCATTAAAATGAGAAAAAATCTTCTTGTTACTAGTAAATCAGAAAAAAAAATATATATATATATTCAAATAATACCTATTATGTATAACAAAACATAAGTTAACACGATGATATGTAGCATAACATTCCTTGTATTAAGAGGATACAGAGGCCGGGCGCTGTGGCTCACGCCTGTAATCCTAGCTCTTGGGAGGCCGAGGCGGGCGGATTGCTCAAGGTCAGGAGTTCAAAACCAGCCTGAGCAAGAGCGAGACCCCGTCTCTACTATAAATAGAAAGAAATTAATTGGCCAACTGATATATATATAAAAAATTAGCCGGGCATGGTGGCACATGCCTGTAGTCCCAGCTACCCGGGAGGCTGAGGCAGAAGGATCACTCGAGCCCAGGAGTTTGAGGTTGCTGTGAGCTAGGACGCCACGGCACTCACTCTAGCCTGGGCAACAAAGCTAGACTCTGTCTCAGAAAAAAAAAAAAGAGGATACAGATACACCCATGAATGCGTGTTGTTTTGGAGAATTCAAGCATTCTGATTTCCCTTTCAGGGTGGGAGTTTGATTATTAATGTAGTTAGAAGAGGGGAGCCCCTGGCACAATGCTGCAATACAAGGTCGTTTCAGATCCTGGGCTTCCTTGCCTTCTTGGTCCCAGATATGAAGTGATTAGAGGCCCCTGTTCTTTATATTCTAGCTTACTAATTCATTGATGTTCTCACATGCATTCTGCTTATTTATTTCAGATTTGAAATCCTTTCTAAGTAACATCTCAATTTTGTAGTTTCTTTAAAATTCGGAAGGGGAATCCAGTGTATATTGACAGTGGTTGCATTAATTGCTGTGTTGTAATTGTATTTTGTTTTGCCCTTTACTCTTTTTCATTTTTTTAAATTCACAATATTATGGGGGTACAAACATTTTAATTACATGAAATGCATTTGCCTCACTCAAGCCAGGACCACAAGCATGTCCTTCCCCTATATAGTGCACCCTGTCTCCATTAGCTGTGGGTTTACCCACCCCACCCACTCTACCCCCCACCCCAACACCCCCACCTGACTGGCACCCAGTGAGTATTACTACCATGTGAGTACCTTATTGTTGATCAATTAGTGCCAGTTTGATTGTGAGTACATGTGGTGCATGTTTTTCCATCCTTGTGATACTTCACTTCGAAGGATGGGCTCAATCTCTATCCAGAATAATATAAAAGGTGCTGGATCACCATTGGTTTTTGTAGTTGAGTAGTACTCCATGGTATACATATACCACATTTTATTAATCCACTTGTGTATTGATGGGCATTTGGGTTGTTTCCACATCTTTGCAGTTATAAATTGTGTGTACTCTTTTATAATTTGATACAGTGGCAAATCTCAGTCTTCTTTTCTAATGTGACAGAACCCTTTTATTTTTATGGTGTCTTCCCAGTCTGAGCAACACAGGTTGCCCTCAAATGCCCTAACTGGCTTCCTCCTCCTCACCTGTTACCATGGCAGCAGCCTATGCTGTTGGAAGGGATCCTGAGCAGGGCCAGGGGTGCATCAGGTGGAGCACCAGTTGGTCAATTCCACCTAGGGAGCTCTTCCTGCAGGGTCCTGGGTCTGTGCAGCCAGCAGAGGGAGACCAAGGGCCACGAGAGGATGGATGGCGCCTTCACTCAAAGACACAAGGTGACCTAGGGCTGTTCTTTACTTTCGTCACATTTTTTTCCTGACACATTGAGATCCATCTTTATTTTAAAATCATGCTAAAGTTTCAAATTTAATAAACATTTAAAAAATTATTTCAGTGTTTCCTTTCTAGTAAAAATTTAGAGCCTCAAATATATATATTAAAAATGGAATTATAATGAGATTTTAGAAACATTTTTAAACTATCACTTTTACTTAATATAATGAACATTTTTCATGTGTTGAAGTAAGAAATAATATAAGCAAAATATACATATAAATATAAAATAATATATAAAATATTAAAGTACAATATTTTTTATCACAATTTATTTAATTTTTATTTTCATAAATTTTTAATTTCTATTTCTTTTATGTTTAGTAGCATTGGGATAAACAGTCTTACAAATTTAAGTTTAGATATGTTCATGATTATTAATTTAGAATATATTATAAAAGCGAAATTGCAGGTGCTAAATATATAGATATTTCAAAGCTTTTGATACCTCTTTCCAGTTTTCCTCCAAAAAATTTATACCAATATAAATTCTATTAATTTATACCAACATAAATATTAATACCACCAATGTGTACCTCATAATTATGCCTCTTTATCACATTGTCAACAATATTAAGTATTGTCATTTTAAATCTTCGCTACTTGAATAAGAGAACAACTTTATACAATTTATTATTTATATTTCATTCATCCTTTAACAAATGATCCTTGAGTGCATGATCTGTTCCAGCCACTGTTTTCTGCCCTTCCCCTTTGGACATAAAGTGTCCTGGAACTTTATCCCATTTGAGGGGGGCTAATGGTTGTGATTTTAATTTAGAGAGAAATTTTGTTGAAGATATAAATCATGTTTTTTGATAAGCCCTAGTACATATATGTATACACACACACACATGCATACACATGTTTGGCTGCTTTTATAGCACAGAATATCATGCAACCATTAAAACTAATAATTTCAATCACTAGATCCCCACCTGAAGTTAATGTATGTGCGATAATATGATCTGATTTCTATTTTCAAAATAAACATATAATAAAAATAAACATACACATGTCTTTTGTATCTGTTTTCCTATATGTAAAAATATTCTTTACGTTAACCATGAAAATGCGAATGCTGATTACGCCTGCAGAGTAGAAATACGCAGGGACTTACCTTTTGTGTAAATTGTCTACACATCTGTTTGTTTGTTTTTAATAAATTTTATGCATTATGGGAAACACACAGGACATTTCTTATTTTGGAAGCAGCTCCACAATGTAATAGAGAATTAAATTTGCACGTTATTCCTGCTCATTTTCTCATCAGGTTTTAACAGGAATCTCCGATCTGAGTAGCTTTGCTTAGAGCTTCACATGGGAGAAATGTCACTAAATCGTGCAAAAGAGTTAACCTTTAACAAGGAAGTAGAAATTGAACACACATTTTTTTCCCCTGTATTGTCCAGTGAGAGACACGATCAAGGTCATTTGGCTAAAAGTAGAAATGGATCTTAAATCAGGTTGAAATTACTGTGACATCCACCGGATTGTGAAGGACAGCACAAGTGAAGTTCTGAATCTGCACAGGTCAAAGAAAGTGACCCTTGTCAGGCAGAGAAGTACATTTGAATACCTCTTAATTTTCCTATCTCTAAGATAGGTTCTGTTTATTTCAAGTTAAAAACCAAAAGAAAGACATAGGAATCTGGAAAGACTCAATTTCTTTCCAAAGGTAATCTTTGGATGAGGCATAGGAGACCTCTCAGAGGTGAGTGGGGGTCAGTGCTCCATGAGGAAGGGCAGCTGGCTCAGTGCCAGGTCAGTGGCCAGCAAAGCCGGTCTGGTCTGTGATGGCCCCTGGGAGTGCAACCCTGGGCTGGCCCCGGCTCCCGTCTGCGGCGAGTGCATCTCTGCGCTCCTCCTGCACCTGGCCCGGCAGCCACCAAGGCAAGTCTTCAGCTTCCTTTTGCCAAATGCTTAGAATTGTTTAGCTAATCAAAGTTCATAATTTAAAAATCTAGAATTATAGGGTTTTATATGTGATTGTTAAGAAGAACTTCCTAAAAGAAAGCAATAGTCTAGAATAAATTATTTCTAAAAGACAGGAATAAAAAAGTGGGAAAATAGAATTCTTAGTGAAGCAACATTCTTCATCAGATGTGTGCTACATTCAAACCATATGGAACACCTTATGTCCATTGTATTTTTTTTTTACATTTTCCTACAACTCTGTAATGCTGGCTATTTACACACACAAATTGTTCCTCAGTTCATTTGTAAAGCCAAGGAAGGTAGAAAAATATAGTACAAGACAAAAACAATTTTTTTCCTTTTAATTATTGGCATGGTTTTGTATTTTGGAGTTCACAGTTCAAGAAGTCAGATGTTTTATTTCTTTGAGAAAAAGCCTGACAGATACAATAAAGACACAGATACCTGAAATGAAGTATTCTCTAAGTGTCCACTCCAGCTACACATTGGATCTTCAGTGCACAGAATGAGCAGAAAACTCCATGGATACGTTTCTCTGTTCTTGCAAAGCATGATAAAATTAACAGTAACTAAAAAAAATCAATAAATAAACCTGGTTAGTAATGTTCCTCAGACCATCATTCTAAACTTGGTTCTGCATGGTGAACATTACAAAGGTGAGTCCCTAATCCTGAGTGTCATTATTTTCTTCTATAAAATGGTAACAACAGATATGCAAATGGCTGATGTGAAGAATAAGTACCATTACAGTACCTGTTAATGGTTTAATAAATGTTAACTGTTATAAATAGTATTATGGAGACCACAAAATTGAGGGAAGAACCTACATAATTGGGATTGTAAATAGAACACAATCATTGTGGTTTTGCAAACACTTTCACATTTATTTTGCACTTTTTTGGCTATTCTTGAATTTAAATTAAAAACACATTTTGCTTTCAGCTCAATTGTTTTTGTATTTTTATTTCTTTATATTAAGTTTAAAATGGAACTCAGGGAGATAGAGGAATCATTTAAAACAAACTCTATCCTATATTGAAGAAGAAAACACAGTTTTTAAAACTCAATGTGCCACTCTGCTATGACCAATATGCCAGAGAGAGAGAGAGAGAGAAAAAGAGAGAGAGAGAATCTTATGGAAGGGAAAATGGGACATATTTAGGATATTTAACATTGACCCAAAGTAAATGTTTCCATTGATACTTTTGTCAAAATGGGAGCCATGAAGCCATCACAGATGGGATTCTGGGACAGCACGAATATGTTGAATCTTTGCACTTACTCAGAAATTACTTACCGTCTCAGTAGTTACTTTGACATTCAACTTGATCCTAATGAATAGGCCAAGCAATTATTTTAGAGTCTTACTGCCTGGGTTTAAATTCTGTCTTTGCTATATCCTAAATTTGTGACCTCTCTATGCTTCTCTGTGCCCCAGTTCTCCCATCTGCAAAATGGGGTGGGTAATAGACCCTATCTTGTAGGATAGTTGTGAGGATTAAATGAGTTAACTCTCATACTGCACTTAAGAAGTGCTTTAAGGTTATTATTGAAGATTTGAGATCCATAATTGGAGAGTAGCTTCTGGATCCAATAATCACAGGAAATGTGATATATGTTTAACAGTTCCTTTTCTAAAATCAGTAACAAAAAGAGAATCTTCACCACAGGCACTGGGCTTCCATATGAGGGGTTGGTATGGAACCCTTTCTTCTGAATAAATGAGAAGGGGGTCCTACTTGGCCAGACAGTGCATCAAGGATCTAAGGACAGTTAGCAGCACAGAAGGAAGATCAGTATCAGGGTAAGCAAACTACTTAATTCCTGACCATAGCCTACAGGGATGGTTACCTCATCCTCTGCTCTGGCAGAGTCATGACAAAGTCAAGAGCTGGCACATGAGGATAAGGGGTGTGGATGGACAGGCCAAGAGGGTCAGAGGAGCCGTGGCCACACCATGAGAGGGGTAGTGGGACCTAGAGCTCTGCTCAGCTCCCCAGCTATGAACACAGGCTTAGGGACAGGAGGAGCCTACACTAGCAAGGCATTTTGTCACAAATACCTAGCGCCAGTGATTGTCATTCACTTCTCATTCACTTTTCCCACCTCCAAATCCCTTCTCAGGGCTTATAAACCACTTTTACTCACAGTTAATCTGTGGTCATTTCTTTGAACATAGCCTTGGGCTTAGAGGAACCTCAACAAAAGGAAGAAAAAATATATGAGCTGGGATCGATTCTCCTCATTGGGAAGTGAAGCCTAGCTATAGACCCCTCCTGAACCTTATGATAGACTTGCTTGTGAAAGTCGGGGCTTTTTCTATCATATTTTGACTACAATTCACTCCCCACAGACAAAAATAATGATTCAGGGGACAGAACTCTGTGGTAATACAACTAATCACATTCTCCCCAGAGAGAATTAAAGAGTGTGCTATTGTCTTATCAGTAGTTGAACCAATGAATCCATTTCCCATGTGATTCATTTTCTTCCTTCTGCATTCCCATGGGATGTGTTGTGTGTGTTTTCATGGGATTGGATGGGGACTGGATTTCTGTTAAAGAGGCAAGACTTTGGCACAGAAAATTAAAAAATCAAGATCAGGCCATAAATCGATTTCTCTCAATACTAACTTACTTTATCAGTCTTAAAATTGTTCGGCTCTCCAATTTCTGCTGGTTCACTGCAGAGGAGAGTCTGTGTTGTCTTGATCTCTTGTAGTTAGAGGTCCCATGGACCCTCTTAAGGCATATCTCAGAGATATAGGTTTCTCCCAATGGAGAAAATGTTATTGCAACATACTCCAGGTTTCTCCTTTACATATATTTTTAACTTGGCAGTTCAGGTATACCTCATCTTCTTTCTCACATTTCTTCAGTGTGTCCTCTATCTCAAATATCTCTAGATTTCTCAGCCATGTTTTTATTTCCTTATCCTGGGTTGGGCCCTACAGATAAAATAAGTATATCTCTCCCTTTCTTTCTAGCTCTTTTTTTTTTTTTTTTTTTTGCTTTCTGCACTAAGTGATAATGTTTCATGATTATAAAATCTTTCCAGTTCTTGCTCTCTCAGTGTCTGTTTTTAGTCTGGCTCTCCATACAGTCATACATAGTTCTTTAACTAGGGTAGAAAGAGCACTTCAAAATAATAGTACCATATTTAATAGATTGTGGAGAACAGTAAAATATATATTCAAGAGGAGGCTAATTGGGGTTATTTCTCTTTTAAAATTATCTGTGTGGACAATAGAGTCTCCCTCCACTTACCTCCCTATCCTCCAACCCAAGACTCTCTACTTCATTCAACTACTACTCCCCAGTAGCTCCGCTCTTGAAATTCTCATTCCATGTTTCAAGTCCGTTTTATCCTTGTTTTACCCACTTGACTTCGTACCAAGTACCAATCCTTCATAGCACTCGTGGAGCCTCTTCAACCATCTTAACCCAAATTGGTCTCCCTGCTGTGACAGAGCAAAGCACTTACTATTAGAATGCTTCAAGGATTTGCTTAAATAATCTTTTACTTTTAGTATTTTTAAAATTGTTCATCTTTCATATGAGGCTATTGCAGAAAAAATAAATATGACTCATCAATACCTAGGTAGATCTAAGAATAGTATTTTGCTACATATCCATTCAGCTTGGCATAATTAATACGATGTTATTTCTTCTGTTGAGGACAATATAAAGACTCTTTTATTTCAAAATATTACAAGGGAGCTGGGCACGGTGGCTCACACCTCTAATCCTAGCACTCTAGGAGGCTGAGGCGGGAGGATTACTCAACATCAGGAGTTCAAAACCAGCCTGAGCAAGAGCGAGACCCCGTCTCTACTAAAAATAGAAAGAAATTAGTTGGCAAACTAAAAATATATATAGAAAATATTAGCCAGGCATGGTGGTGCATGTCTATAGTCCCAGTTACTTGGGAGGCTGAGGCAGAAGGATTGCTTGAGCCCAGGAGTTTGAGGTTGCTGGGAGCTAGGCTGACAGCATGGCACTCTAGCCTAGGTAGCAGAGTGAGAGTCTGTTTCCCCTCCCCCCCAAAGTTACAAGGGTAGAAATATTTTTTGTTACATGGATCACTATTGTAATGCTTGAGTGAAGGCTATAAGTGTGCCCATTACCCAGATAGTGTTCATTGTACCCATTAGGTGGATTTTTGTCCCCCCCACTCTGCTTCCCTCTGCTTGATTTCCACTAAGATTTACATTCCTTTGTGCACATGTGTGTTCATCAGTTAGTTCCAATTTAATAGCAAATTCATGTAGTGCTTGTTTTTCTATTCTTGAGATAATTCACTTAGGATAATGGTATCCAATTCCATCCAAATTGTTGCAGAGGGCATTAATTCATTCTTCTTGTGACTGAGTAGTGTTCCATAGTATACATACCACATTTTGTTAATCCACTCAAGAATTGATGGGCACTTGGGTTGATTTCACATCTTTGCAATTGTGAATTGTGCTGCAATAAACATTCCAGTGCAGGTGTCTTTGATAAAATGATTCTTTTCCTTTGAATAAATATCCACTAGTGGGACTGCTGTATCAAATACATTTGGAACCAAAAAAAAAAAGACCAAACAGCCAAAGCAGCCCAAAGCAAAAAGAACAAATCTCGAGGTACCACATTATCAGACTTCAAACTATGCTACAAGGCTCTAGTAACCAAAATAGCATGCTATTTGCACAAAAATAGGGACATAGACTAATGGAATAGAACAGAGAACCCAGATATAAAACCATCCACATACAGCCAACTGATTTTCGACAAAGCAGACAACAATATACACTGGCAAAAAGAAACACTATTCTATAAATGGTTCTGGAAATGTTGGATAGCCACATGTAGAAGAATGAAACAGGATCCATATCTCTCTCATCACTCACAAAAATTAATTCAAGATGGATAAAAGAGTTAAATTTAAGGCATGAAATCGTAAGAATTACGGAAGAAAATGTTGGAAAGACTCTTCTAGATCTTGGCTTAGGAAAAGAATTTATGATGAAGTAAATGGGACTTTATTAAATCAAAAGGCTTCTACACAGCTAAGGAAATAATCAACAGAGTAAATAGACAATCTACAGAATGGGAGAAAATATTTGCAAGCTATGCACCTGATAAAAGGCTTATATCCAGAATCTACAAAGAACTCAAGCAAATCAGCAAGAATAAAACAAACATTAAACATTTGGGTCTATTAAAAAGTGGACCAAAAAGATAGGCAAGTGGCCAATAAACATATGAAAAAAATGCTCAATGTCACTAATCATCAGGGAAATACAAATTATACCACAATGAGACATCACTTTATCCCAGTTAGAATGGCTTCTATTAAAAAGTTCAAAAGCAACAGATGCTGGCATGGATGCAGAGAGAAAGGAATGCTTATGTACTACTAGTGGGACCACAAATTATTATAACCTCTGTGTAAAGCAATACAGAGATTTCTCAAAGACATTTAACATAGTTAACTATGAATATAAAATCATGTGTCATGACTTGTCTATTTTTGCTTCTCATCTTTGAAATGTTAGAGCAAAAACATTTCCTTTGGGAAGTCTTAGACTTCTTATGAGAGTTATGTGCATATTAACAAACAGTTTATATTTTGGCAAGAATAAATATTACAAAGCATACATGGCCCCATCATTGGTGATAGACCTTTATTAAATGAGAGTCTATTTTGAAACTGAAGTATTTGTGGATTATATCAATTACTATACCTACAGCTGGAGTTAAGCATACTTTTAGCATTTTGCCATCTCTGAAAGAGAAACACCTCATTCACAGGGCCTGAGTCCTTTCTATTTTTTCTTTTTTAAAAAATATAAAGTCCATTTACTACATAGAATTTCAATGGGCTATTGAAGGAGATAAAATAATAAAAACAATGATATGGAATTTGAAATTTTAAGGTCTGTTTTCACCATCTCTTCTGTTATTGGTCATCTTATTAACCTTATAAAGCTACTATAGGATGTGCTCCAGCAAAACAAGGGAGTAAACCAAGAGAGACGATGGCCTTATTAATGAACTAGGAAGTCCAACTGAGGATAAAGGCAGTTGGAATTGCTAGGATGCAACCAGTCCAGGTAGAAGGAGAATGGAAGACTCCTGATGGATGTCTGCAAGAAAAACCTGGAATGAATATATTAGCTGAGGGGGCAGAGGTGGTAGAAAGACTTAGAAATTGGCACAAAGAATCCAAGCAGAGGGGAAAATGGGGGATTGCTGCATACTTCCTGCCTAGAGAGTCAGGTGAGAGAAAATCTTGGCTTAATAAAGAGTTTTCTAACTTGTTGCCACTGCTGATGTGCTGTGGATGAATGGGCTTTAAGGAGGTGTTGCCTTTCTTTCTCGCAGCTGCAGTCTTCTCCAGCAATTTCCTCCCCATGATTGGGGAGTACAACATTGAGAGTACAACATTGCTCTGCACTTTGTTTAGGAGTTGAAGAGTTGGTGCTGGCACCGGTATTTTCCTTAATCAAATGTTCTTTGTACACCAGTAACATGTCAGGCACAGTTTAGGTTATAGGCTCAAGGGATACTACTAATTAAGGGAGACAAAATCTGCATCCCTCTTGCTCACATTCCAGTGGTAAAGAGAAGAGCTGCATTTATTTTAAAAGTCTCAACACTTCTTTACCATCCTGTTTCTTCTCTTTTAGGAGGGAAAGGTAGCCTTTTTTTTTTATAAGAAGGACAAAATTTCAATATACACAATTTTGAAAATAAAGCAATTTTGAAAAGCACAATGAAAAAAGATTATTGCAGGTTGCAACACCCAGAAATAATTGTTATGATTGATAGATAGCTCAATATCTGAGATATTTCTTCATTAATGTGTATAGATACAAGGCTAATAGGGTAGACATATAAACAATTTAACAAAAATGAGATTCCACAATATTTTAATAAAATATTTTGACTTTTTTGTAAAAAGAACGTTTGCCCAATATGAAAATCAATTGGACGATACAGAAAAATACAACCATGTCACTTACACATTTGGTTAATTGAATTCCACATTCTCTGTGATCTTAGAGAAATATAAGGCTAGATAATTGTAAATATTTTGATAAACATGATTTCATACTCCTCATGCTGTTTTGAAGTAAATATATTTTTAATGTAGCAGAAGGAAGAGTATCTACTGTGAAACTAAAATACTTATTCTAATTCAGAATCTTTTTTAAAAAATTGTTTGAGATTAAGTTATTAATGGAACCCCTGGATTTAAAAATATTTTCTTATTATATTTAAAGACTGTAGCCATTATGTTTTAAATATCATGCCTTATCTTGTGAGAGTATCAACTGGGTCCCTAAAATTGAAGGAAGAGTAAATTTGTACACTTAAATGTCCTTCTTCTCTTCCAGATTTAAGCAGGCTAGCTTCAGAACTCAAACCCTTTGGCAGAGAAGCCAGCTGTGGGTGCTATGACCATTGCTCACTTCCTTGCTGATCCTGCACTGATTTTCTAAAGGCACCAGGCAGTAATGTTATCAGAAAAAGTGGTCCTTACTCTGAGCCACAGGACATAAAACCCACGATTGACCTAACCCAAGCGTTCGATTTCATCTCTGTCAGTGTGTGGTTCAGGGACTTCCATTTGACTCAGTCTTGGCCAGTGGAATATAAGGAAATGCCTGCTGTCTGAGAGTCCTCCTGGAAAATATTTTTCTTTATGATAAAACGGAAAAAGACAAAAAAATAACTTTCTTTTGCTTCTTTATCAATTTTAGACATCAATATGTCAGAAAATTCTCTCACTATAAAAAAATATCTGAAAATGGTTTATCTATCATATTGTCAAAAAAGAATCTCTTTCCTGCTTTCATCTTTAAGTTTATTTGAAGGTTATTTTGGAATTAAAAATCCTATTTTCATGCTATTCTTCTCTTACCTTAATTTTTTTTTGTTTTTTTTTTGTTTTTTTTTTAATTTTTTTTTTATTTTGGCATATTATGGGGGTACAGATTTTAAGGTTTCAATAAATGCCCATTTCCCCTTCCCCAAAAGTCTGAGTCTCCATCATGACCATCCCCCAGATGGTGCACATCTCACTCATTATGTATGTATATACCCGCCCCTCCCCCTCACCTCCCCAATACCCTATTACAGTAGCACCTATGTGTCCACTTAGGTGCTACTCAGTTAATACCAGTTTGCTGGGAGATATATCTGGTGCTTGTTTTCCATTCTTGGGATACTTCACTTAGTAGTATGGGTTCCAGCTCTAACCAGGAAAAATATAGATGTGCTATATCACCATTGTTTCTTAGAGCTGAATAGTACTCCATGGTATACATATACCACATTTTATTGATCCATTCTTGGATTGATGGGCACTTGGGCTGTTTCCACAGCCTTGCAATTATGAATTGTGCTGCTATAAACATTCGAGTGCAGGTTTCTTTTTTGTAGAGTGTCACTGGATCATTTGGGTAGATGCCCAGCAATGGGATTGCTGGATCAAATGGTAGATTCACTTGGATCGCTTTAAGGTATCTCCATATTGCTTTCCACAGAGGTTGAACTAGTTTGCAGTCCCACCAGCAGTGTAGGAGTGTTCCTCTCTCTCCGCAACCACGCCAGCATTTATTATTTGGAGATTTTTTGATAAAGGCCATTCTCACTGGGGTTATGCCATTTGGTATTCTTTTTTTTTTTTTGAGACAGAGTCTCGCTTTGTTGCCCAGGCTAGAGTGAGTGCCATGGCGTCAGCCTAGCTCACAGCAACCTCAAACTCCTGGGCTCGAGCAATCCTTCTGCCTCAGCCTCCCGAGCAGCTGGGACTACAGGCATGCACCACCATGCCCGGCTAATTTTTTATATATATATCAGTTGGCCAATTAGTTTCTTTCTATTTATAGTAGAGACGGTGTCTCGCTCTTGCTCAGGCTGGTTTTGAACTCCTGACCTTGAGCAATCCGCCCGCCTCGGCCTCCCAGAGAGCTAGGATTATAGGCGTGAGCCACCGCGCCCGGCCTGCCATTTGGTATTCCTATTATGGCTTCTGCTGTTCTTTCTACCTGAAATGATTTAGCCTTTTTTTTCCTGCTAATTTTAGTTTTTCAAGCCCAATGTCTATATCACCTTTATCATAAGGTCTCTTTTACTGATTTTTGACCAATAAATTCTTTATCTAAATAGTTAAGTTTGTAAAACTTTTTCCCCATTTCTCACATGGTGATCAATGGTCACTGGTTCTCATGTTGGAAGGGAATACTAATTGCCTTCAGTAACAGTGGTTCAATAACATAGTTATTCCCAAGAGAATGTTCACAGTTGGGAACCCTATGGAAAACTATGTGTGTCTTTCATTATAAAAAGAAAGGAAGAAAAGGAGAGGAGAGGAGAGGAGAGGAGAGGAGAGGGGAGGGGAGGGGGGAGGGGAGGAGAGGGGAGAAGAGAGAGAAGAGAAGAGAAGAGAAGAGAAGAGAAGAGAAGAGAAGAGAAGAGAAGAGAAGAGAAGAGAAGAGAAGAGAAGAGAAGAGATTCTCCTGTGATTACCCTGATAGCTTTCCCTCCAGGCAGTACAGGGGAGATATGTTTATCTTTTATCTAGAATCACTTGGTCACTATTGTCAGCTACACTTCTTTACAGAGTTAGCTTGGTATTAGGAATACAGTGCTCTCTCTCCCTCTGTTTGTCATGGGAGGACACAGTGAGAAGACACCCTCTGCAAGCCAGAAGAGAGCCCTCACTAGAACCCAACGATGCTGACGTTGGACATCCAGCCTCCAGAACAGTGAGAAAATAGATTTCTATTGTTTAACAACAAAGAGAGAATACAGGCTCTGAAGCCAGACAGCCTCTGTTTTAACTCTAGCTTTTGCATTGATTATACTAACTCAATGACCCAGGGTAAGTTAGTCAACTTCTGTATTCCTCAGTCATCTCCTGTGCAAAATAGGAATCAGAACATAGAAATTCTTCTCTCTCCCTCTAACCTGTGTGCCCCTTGGTTTCAAGAAGAATGTGGGTGGGGCGGTCCACTTTCCTAGGAGAGCCTATGTAGGCTGCCAACATTAATTAGGGAGAGGCTTCTCTGGTCCCAGCTCTGCTCTAGATACTAGAGACACAGCTACCAACAGCACAATAGTGACACATGTGAGGTAGTAAACTGACAATTAACATGTGAATAAATATATAAGAAGAAAAAGCTCAGATGCTTAATAATGCCATGAAAAAGATGAACTGAAGGGCTATGGCAGGAGGTCACCTAGTGAAGACATTGAAGGGGACTCTGTCTGCAATATGCTGATCTTTGAGAAGCTGCTGCTTAGGAGTTGATAAACAAGAAGGTCTACAGAAGAGGACTTGGGGGGTTGTCTTGTCACTCTTTTTATGCCCTGTTTTGATTACTGTAAGTTCTTAATTACAACCTAGTCAAATGTATCAATATTTTCTTTTAATGCAATTTAAAGATTTTGACATTTTATTATTTTTAAAATCCTTCCCTTTCATATGTATTTCCTAAAAGCTTTACAGTTTTGTCTTTGACGCTTAGGTCTTCAGAACACTGGAGTGGAGGTTTCTGTGTGGTTTGAATATCTTTATGGAGACTCAGTTATCCCTGCACCATTAGCCGCAACGTCTTGCCTTTCCCCAGTGATCTGCCATGCCACTCCTCTCCTAGAGCAAAGGTTGATGGAGGCATGCATCTGCTTCTGTGCTTTCCCTCCTGTTTGGTTTGTTTAGTGGTCCATCCCTCTAAGAATATCTCCGTGTTCTATTTGTTAGCAGTATATAGCGTGTTTTGATAGCTGGAGGATAAAATCCTCCCACTTGGTGCTTTTTCTCTTTTCAGAGTATTTGGGCTAGCTTTTGCCCCTTTCATTTGATAATTAGCTTGCCCTGTTCTGCATATACCCACACACTCTGCTGGGATATTGTAGGATATTGATTGGGATTGTATTAAATCTATTAATCAGCTTGAAGAGATTGAATCTCTGTAATATTACATTTTCAATCCCCAAATCCCTAATATCCCACATTGCATATCTGTATTTAGCTACCATAGTCTCTCAATACATTCTTCTAATTGTCTCTTTAGAGTTTTTTGTACAGACTTCGTTAGAATTATTCCTAAGAATTCCAAAATTAATTCCTTTTGTGTATGATATAGCATTTTGAAAAATATCCTTTTAATTCTTTGCTATTGATTTAAAAAATGTAATAGATTTTTCATATTGATTTTGTATCAAGCTACTTTGTCAAAATTTCTTATGCTTTTAATAATATATCATAAGATTCTTTTGGATTTCCTACATATACAATCATGTTATTTGCATATGATTACAGTCTGTTTCCTCCTTAAGTGTGTGTGTTTGCATGTACATGGGTGTGTATTTGTTCTTTTTGTATAACTGTACTAGTTAGAGTCTCTCATAAAAAGTGACAGCAAGGAAAAACAAGTGGTTTTGGTGTGCATCATTCTCCTATTCTTTATCTTAACCACTTCGGTACGGCGCTCACTGGCTGTGAAACCTTGCCCACAGCCGGCACTCACAGTCCGCACGATAATTTGTGCCATGCATGGATGACGAATCCGTTTTGCTCTTGTGTGATGAGGAAAGCTTTAAAGCCCTGAAAGCTTGTTTTACTTTACAGGCAGCTTTACTTGTAATGTAAATCAGAATAGGTAACATATACATATATGTTTTCATTACATTATTTTTAAATATTCACAATTTTATTTTGATAAATGAAAAATTAGAAAAGTGATATCACACTGTCAGCTTAAGTCAACGCTCGGCTGTGTGCCTTCATATCATGGCTGTCAGCTAAAGTCGCTGTGAGCGTTCATCTGTGGCTATCGACTATAGTCGAGGCTTGTACCAAAGTGGTTAAAGGAAAAGATGCTAACATTTCGCCATTAACTATGATATCTGCTTTGTTTGGTTTGGTTTTGTTGGTAAATTCTCTTTGAAAAGGCTTACTGCTGTATTAGGTTGTAAAGTGTTTTACCCTGAATTGATGTTGAACTTTGTCAAATACTTTCTTGGTTCTACTGAAATGGTCCTACGACATGTATCCTTTAGTTTATTAATGTGGCAAATTATCTTCACTGTTTGTTTCAATGTTGAATAATTCTTGCATTGGGGGGATATAAATAACATCATCATAATACATTCCCTTTGCTAGACTCATTTTATTAATCTTTTCTTTAAGATATTTGCATCTTATGCATGAGTAGGATTAGGCTGTGATTTTCTATTTCATGTGTTTGTCTCAGGTTTAGTGTCTGTGACTTAAACAGTTAGAGTAGTTATTTTCTCATTTTATAAGAAGTCCAAAGATACAGAGCTTTGGGTTTGGTAAATGAAAGGACCGAAAGGAAATTTACGAACCCGGGATCATGAGAACCAGGCTCACACACTCAGGATATCACAAACCATCCTTCACATTGACCTCTGCTTCCAAAGAATTCTCCTAAAGGCCCCTTTCACCTCTGCGTTCCTCAGGCTGTAGATCAGGGGGTTCAGCATGGGGTTGAAAAGGCTATAAAACAATGATAGAAGCTTCCTCTGTTCTTGAGAGTGGCTGGACTTGGGGGCCATGTACATGACGATGGCGCTGCCAAAGAAGAGCCCGACCACGCAGAGGTGGGAGGAGCAGGTGGAGAAGGCCTTTCTGCGGCCCTCCCCAGACTGGATGTTCAGGATGGCCAGCAGGATGCGTGAGTAGGAGACCAGCACCAGGCAGAGGGGCCCCACCAAAACACACACAGAGCCTGCGAAGAGGACGACTTGATTGAGCCTGGTGTCAGCACAGGCCAGTTTGAACACTGACATGATTTGACAGAAAAAGTGATTGATTTTTTGTGGCCCGCAAAAGGGCAGCCTCAGAATGAGACTAACATGGACCAGAGCCAAAAGAAAGCTAAATATCCAGCAGGTGGAAGCCAGGACAGTGCACACTCTCCAGCTCATGATGAGGGTGTATTGTAAGGGGTGGCAGATGGCTACGTACCGATCGTAGGACATCACCACCAAAATCATACACTCTGTAACAGCAAAAGCCAAATACAAAAAAGTCTGAAATATGCACGGACCAAAGGAGATGGTTTTTGTGTGCATCACGAGATTTACTAGCATCTTAGGGACTGTGCTTGAGGCATAGGACATGTCAACGATGGCCAGGTGTGCCAGGAAGAAGTACATTGGGGTGTGAAGTCTAGAGTCTAGGCAGATGAGCCCCCAAATAATCCCATTTCCCATCATGGTGAAGCTATAGAATAGCAGGAAAATTCCAAAGAGGAGCAACTCCAGGGCTGGGTCAGTCTGGAATCCCAGTAGGATGACTTCCGTGATCCATGTCTGGTTGCTCTCCATGTTCTTGTGACAGATAAATACTGTGATGCACTAAGACAGAAATTTCAAAGCTGAGAAATAGAAAAAGGGGGGGGGGGAAGATATTTTATGATAGAGTATGACTTTATGCCAGAGGCAACCAATCAGTATTTCATGGGCCCATCCAGCCCAAAGTCCTGTGAGGTTGACCTGCAAATTTGGCTTTTAGAGATACTGAAAACTGTAGTTATTGACCAATTTTAAAAATTAGGAGATTTCACATAAAATGTGGGGTCTGTGCTGTCTCGAAAAAAGAAAAGATTTGTCATTTCATGATATTCATTATAAACAATAATTAACTAAAGCTAATGAGGCAACAGACAGAGGCAGGTCCTGTTTCATTTACTTCTGTTTCAGCCCATCTTTTTCTCCCAGAAACTGAGCTTAGCAACAAATAACAAGTTTATCATTGACCTATAATAATGATTATATATTTAGTCAAGAAGAAAGTTAAGATTTATGGTCAAGATGCATTCCTAATTTCTCCTCTACTTTAAACACATGGATATGAGAGATAAAATATAAAATACAAATATCAAAGAGTTTAAAAGGAGACATATCCTTCATATACCAGAAGCTAATCAGAAACATAATATGCTCCAAGTCTAAAAGAAGAGAGTTCTGGAATTCAGCTTTTATAGGTCAAGGCAAGTTATCAGAGGTGAATACCAATGTAATTGTTTGAAGCTAAGGGGTTGAGTTATGCCCATGAAAGAAGGTTTAAAACAGCTTTTGAGTTTCTGGGTAAGGTGACTTTTGAGAAGTCAATGTGCTTCCTGGCTCTATAATTTGGTTAACAGAGCCTAAGAAGCTATCATAAGACCTGATTTTGTTGAGGGGCCCATGAAGCCAGGTGAAGAACAACAAAAGCAATAAGACAGTGAGGGGGGAAAAGGTGGAAAAATCAAATTAAAATCAAGGTAATAATGAAAACAAAACTCTTCCACTCAAAATATGCCCCCTAAAACACATTTTTTAAAAACACACAAATTTCATGCTAAAGAGGAAAGACAAACAATTGGAAGCTTAAATTCATTCAAAATGAAACTAAATGTGTAGAACAATCTTCCAAATACTCTAATAGAAGGATAATCAGGATGTTGTAATCAATTAATAAAGACATGGTATTTGCTAAATACTCCATAAATTAAGAGAAATAAACCAAGTAGTCATGAAAACACAACTAGTATATCAATTACAACTAATACATCACAACAACACAACTAGTACAACAAACACAACTAGTACATCAATTGCAGACCTTTGCAATAAGAAACAGCCACACAATTAAAAAAAATAAAGATGATAATTTCTAGATCTATCATTAAAAGGATGTTGTGTATTAGAAGATCTCATAAAATAATCCACCCATACTTTAATACTTATGAACAAATGGATAATATTTTGAAAGTGCAATTTAGAGACATGAATATTGCTTGAGAGGCTATACTTAGACATGATAAAGTTCCTGAGCAAAATAATGGAGAAAATTGGGAAGAAACAATGTTTGAAGAGGTTTCACCAAAAATGTTCCAGAATTGAAAATAACCTGTCTTTAAATTGCTAAGGGAAAAAAAATAATTCTATTAGAGTATAGTAAATAAAGAAAAATGTACACTCAAGCAAATTGAAGAATTTTTTATAATTGAATATGACAATCTTTATATCAAAAATGTACTCTAAAGAACGGAACAAGATAAATAAAAAATAAATTTTCAGTAAATGTAAATTATCAACAATTATCTCTTGGACAATTGTGTTTCCTTTATACTTTCTATTTCACCATGTCTAGACCTTATGGAAACACTATCAGATCAACAGTGTAGTCAATCATCCTATTTTCTTTGTCTTTTAACTACTCTTTCATATTTTTTCTGGAAGTTCTAGCTAGAGCAATCAGACAAGGGAAATAAATAAAGTGCATCCAAATTGGAAAGGAAGAAGTAAAATTAAACTTGTTTGTAGACAATATCATTTTATATTTATAGAAACCTAAAGACTCTACACACACACACACACACACACACACACACAAAGCAAAACCCTATTAGAACTAATAAACAAATTCAATAAAGTTATAGGATACAAAATCAACATGCAAAAATCAGTAGCATTTCTGCATGCCAACAGTAAGCATTCTGAAAAAGAAACCAAGAAAGTAATCTAATATAAAATAGCTACAAATAAAATATTAATAAAATACCCAAGAATAAACTTAAAGCAGTAAAGGATCTCTCTACTGAAAACTATAAAGCACTGATGAAAGATATTCCATGCTGATGGATTGGAAGAATCAATACTGTTAAAATGTCCATACTACCCCAAGCAATCTACAAAGTCAATGCAATCCCCATCAAAATACCAATGGCATTCTTCACAAAAATAGAAAAAATAATCCTAAAATTTACAGTGAACTACAAAAGACCCAGAATAACCAAAGCCATCCTGAGCAAAAAGACCAAAACTGTAGGAATCACATTACTTAACTTCAAATTATACTACAGAGGTGTAGTAACCCAAACAGCATGGTACTGGCATAAAAACAGCACATAGACCAATAGAACAGAATAGAGAACTCAGAAATCCACTCATCTGTAGTGAACTTAACTTCGAGAAAGGTGCCAAGAGCATACAGTAAGAAAAGGACAGTCTTTTCAATAAATGGTGATGGGAAAACTGGATATCCATATGCAGAAAAATGAAACTAGACCCTTATCTCTCACCATATACAAAAATCAAATCAAAATGGATTAAAGATCTGAAGCCATGAAACTACTAAAAGCAAACATTGCGGAAATGCTTCAGGACATTGGTCTGGGCAAGGACTTCTTGAATAATACCCCCAAAGCACAGGCAACCAAAGCAAAATTGGACAAATGGGATCACATCAAGCTAAAAAGTTTCCGCACAGCAAAGGAAACCATCAACAAAGTGAAGTGACAACTCAAAGAATGGAAGAAAATATATTTGCAACCTACCCATCTGACAGGGTTTAATAACTAGAATATATAAGGAGCTCCAACAAAAATCAAATAATACAATTTAAAATGGGCAAAGGATCTGAATAGATAATTCTCAAAAGAAGACATACAAATGGTCAAAGGGTATATGAAAAAATGCTGAACATCATTAGTCATCAGGGAAATGCAAATCAAAACTACAATGAGATATCATCTCACCCCAGTTAAATGGGTTTTATCAAAAAAGACAGGCAATAATGAATGCTGGTGAGGATGTGGAGAAAGGGAAACTCTCACACACTGTTGGTGGGAATGTAAATTAGTGTCACCACTATGGAGAACAGTATGGAGGTTCCTCAAAAACCTAAAAATAGAACTCACATATGACCCAGCAATCCTGGTGCATATTCTCAAGTATATTCCTCAATAAGAATAAAAGTAAACCCTAAGGTAAATCAAAGATATAAAAAGTTATATATTAACACATAACTTGAAAAAAACTCTTGGTAAATTTCGTAAATAATGGGGTATAAAATAATTGGTGTTTTGCAAGGGTAAAATCAAATCTTTTAAAAACAGTAAGTAAACAGGAAGGGGAATGTTTGTTAAGTAAAGAATGCTAAGATTCTTGATGAAAATTGAAATCTTGAGTCACTGTAAAATTGTTAAAATAATTTATTAAACTTGGATATTAGCAATTAATGGGTATCATTAAAATAACAGAATCTATAGTTTCCAAATTTACAAGGTAAATAAAAGAAGCTTAAAAGCATTATCTATCCAACCTTAGGAAGCACGCAAAAAAAGGAGAAAAGGAGAAGCAAATAAATTTTTGATAAACAGAAACACAAAATAAGCTAGTAAAAATAAGTATATGTATATTCAGTATCACATTATATGTAATTACAGGACACAAAAAGATGGAGTTAACCATATTAGGTGAAAAACAGAAAATCAAGTTATAAAATCCTTACAAGAATCACGCCTAAACCACTGGAACACAAATTCTCCCTCTCTCCCCTGCCATACACAACGAAATAATATAAAACATGTTCCAGGAAATAGGAACTGGTAGCAGCAATCTTGCTATCATTCCACAGCATGTATAAGCACATAATAAGCATATATGAGATACTATACAATAATAATGAAAGGAAAAATCCACCAAGAATATGAAATTCAGAATTTATTCCCTACAAAAGACTACAAACTTCAAATAGAAAAGAATTTCCTAAATCTGAAAAAGAGTATCCATATAACCTACAGAAATATCATACTTAATGTTGAAATGTTAAAAGCTTTCCTACTGAGTGAAAAAATAAGCCTACAGTGTTCCTTTAACACCACTTCTATTTAATGTTGATTCAGGAATGAGCCAGTTATAAGTGCAAAGGAAGAAGTAAAGGGCATAGGAATTAAAATGGAGAGTATCAAATATCACTGTTGTATATGCAGAAAAATTTTAAACTTAACATATGAACTATTAAAATTAACAAGTGAATCTACAAAATTTCTGAATTCAAGGCCAATGTACAAAATTAAGAAAATGTATATGTACATATATACAAACTTGTATAATTGCGTTTCTAGATTGGAAATTTTGTAAAGATTCTAAATCTCTCCAAATTGAGCTATGCTTTCAACGAAATTCAATCAGAATACCAGCAGGATTTTAATGGGTAGAAATTAACAATCCTATTCAAAATGTTATATGAAAATGCAAAAAAGGTCCAGAATAGCTTTGACAAGAAAAATGAGAAGCGCTTTATGGACTACCGAGCCTTACTGTAAAGCCATAGTAACTAAATAAATGTGGCAGTGGAACTAGGAAAAACAAATATACCAATGACACAGTGTGGTTAACTAAAAAATCCAGAAACACACCACACACTTTATCTGAGACAAAGGTGGCCCTGGTATTTTCAATAAATAAAATAAGGCCGGCTCAGCTAGCTCTCCGTCTGGATGAACACTACGGTACGTCTCCGCCACACGCCATGCACGAAAATAAATTTCAGGTCGGTTTTAGATCTAAGCATGAAAGAGAAAAACAAAAACTTTCCACAAC